CCACCACCAGCCCCTCGGCCAGACATGAAGGCAGGCAAAAAAATGAATGAAGGGGAGCAAACGAAAGGCCTGCCTTCAGCATCCACATCAGTCTGGGCACACTGACCTCATGCACAATCACAGACGTATATACATCTCAACCTCAATTATTTAAACGATGCCCTGGATTTTATTTTATTTTTTTAAATAAATAAATAAATAAATAAACAAACGATGCCCTGGAATTGAGAGAGTAGCACTGATGTGACCTCATGCACAATCACAGATGTATATACACCTCAACCTCAACCATTTAAACGATGCCCTGGAATTGAGAGAGTGGCACTGATGTATATACACTGCCATGTACAAAATAGATAGCTAGCAGGAGGTAGCTGTATAGAGCAGGGAACTCAGCTTGGTGCTCTGTAATGACATAGAGGTGTGGGATGGAAGGCTGGGAGGAAGGCTCAAGAGGGAGGGGGTATATGTACACTTATGACTGATTCACGTTGTACTATAGCAGAAACCAACACAACATGGTAAAGCAATTATCCTCCAGTTAAAAAAAAACACAACTAAACAATGCCCTGGACATGGTGAGGATCTGGGCTGTTCAGAGGGTCAAGTGGGGATTAGGAACAATTATTCTCAACCCCTACTTCATATTAGATCCTAAAACATTCTTGTTGGTTCTTGCCAAAATAAGATATCCTAGGTTTCCACTGGACCTGGCTTAAATTCAGGAATAGGTGTCAACAGGGGTGCGGAAGTATGCTCAGGCTCCCTTTGCTGACCACAAGCAATCCCATCGTTTCAAACTCTGCTCAGGCCCCCAGGGCCCCTGCAAAGACGTAAAGTCAAAACTATTGGGCCACATGGAGTTTCCCAGCATGGCCCCCACCTGGAGGGTCCCTGGTCAGCCAGTCCTTTCGCAGATGGCCACATCTTACCTTGGGAAACGAGTCCTCTCGAGGAAGCAGTGAAGGGGGCCAGGCCATGTTGCCTGCTCACACGTGACGCAGCTGGAGGGTGCCTTTTCCAACCATCCGTGCTCTTTGTAGGGTCTGAGTCGAGGGCCTGTCATGCTGTTTGAAATTTGGGCCACGATTCTTAGAGAATAGGCTACCCCTCCTCCCGCTGGAGTGGAGAAGAGAGTTAGGAGTCACCATATTCCTTCCTATACAGGACCGTACGTGGGACCAGCTAGTAAGAAAACCTCTGACATGCTTTTGCTGAGAGAATGGTGGCCACCTAGTATGGGGGGGCTCTACCTTCTATACCTTTTTTTCTTGCCTTGCATTCAATTGTGGACAAATTCTCCACCACCTCCACCCCTCACCGGGGCTTCCCAGGTGGTAAAGAACTCAACTGCCAATACAAGAGATGTAAGAGACGTGGGTTCCATTCCTGGGTTGAGAAGATCCCCTGAAGTAGGAAATGGCAACCCACTCCAGTGTTCTTGCCTGCAGAATCCTGTGGATAGAGGAGCCTGGCGGGCTACAATCCATGGGGTCACTAAGAGTCGGACATGACTGAAGCGACTTAGCACAACAGCACAACCACCCCACCCCTCGCACCCCAGCCTCCCTTTCATCTGTTATGGAGCTATCTCCAAGTAATGCTTAAAACCGGAGAATACTTTCCATTTTAAAATTAAAAGTCAGTAGCTAAAAAAGCAGCAGCGTCCCCTCTTCTGAATGCTTTGGAATCTGTTCTCTCCAGTTTAACTGGTTGGAAAGTCACTCTGCACCGCGGGTGCTCTTCTTGGCAACAAAGATAAACTGCCATTAACAACCAACTTGAACATGCACACACCCCTAAACTGAACTGGCCTCCTGTTTCAAGCATATATCACAAGTCAAAATGAATTAAGTCCAAATCCAGTTTGCAATGGTCCGTCACTAACCCACCTCACTGGAACGACCTGGCAGCGTGTGGGTTGGAAGAGGGCCTGTGGGGTCCCTCCCGCTGTATGGGATTGCAGTCCGCCTGCCAAATCAGCCCCACACAGGCATCCGCAGCCCAGCGGCCCCTCAACTGGGTGGGCTGGGGTGGGGAACCATCCTGAGCAGCTGCTGAAGCCCAGCCAAGGGCCTGAGAGCACAGGCCTTCCTCTCTCAGACCTCCAATGTCAATCAAGTGTCAAGAACTCATCAGGAGAAACTTCATAGGTGAACCACTGCAGGGTCAAGAGTTGACACTGGGGATTTTCCAAAGAAATAGAAAGAAAAAACTAACACAGGCCACTCATGGAAAATAACCAGCAAAAAACAGGAATGAACCAGGTTAATACTTTAATCTGTACATCACATTTTTTTTTTTTTTTGCAAACCATTACACTTTTTTTTAAATTAATTTTTTCTTGCAAAATACTCATTTCATTTTTCCAACAAAATCTTATAAAGGCAAAAATAAAATCTTATTTTGGCAAATGTCATGAAGTCGATACTGGCAGCATATGGAGTTAGTTAAAAATAGACGGCAACTTCTAAATATATTCTAGATTATTTTTCTGACCATAGTCAAAGACCAATTTTCATTTAAAGTGTGGCTCTACCCGATGGAGGTTTTTTGTTTTTTTCCTTTACAACCTCATTTTCTATATGCAGAATATCATGATATGAGCTCATGACTCATATAAAGGGCCACAAACACGGCACCTGGTCTAGTGGCCCCTTCTCCATTTTAGGCTGGAAGTCAAGTCATCGTCCTGCCATCGTGGCCCTGCTGGCCATCAGAGATGGTGGAGACCCGCGGCCTGCCCTCCGGCCACTGACCCAAGTCCTGGGAAACTGACCTGTGTTCTGAGGGGCACGCTGCAAAGGTCCCAGGATCGCTATCACAGCCTAGTGTGGACACAGGGAGTTGCAGGTAGATGCCACCCGGTGTGATGTTTATTGCTTACGATACAAGTCGAAGATGCTCTTCTTGCCTTTTCTGTATTTCAAAGTGTTCTGTGTTTCTTTTTTTTTAGTTAAAGCAAACTTTTGTTATTTTTGAGAAGAGCCCTTTGCTGAGAGAACCTCATGGGCGGGTTGGGAACCAAAGTTCTTAGACACGTTGTTGGGCCTAAGGCAGACCCAAGGCCGAGGCACAGACTTGGGCTCCGTATCGGTGGAGCTTCACCCTCCAGAGCTGGCCATCAGGCGGGCAGGGTCAGAGACGGCTGACCACTGCCCTGGCCAGCACGCCAATGAGCCCCACGCTGGAATCCACTGGAAGCATGTCCCCCATCCAAGCTCGCCTGCATTCAGCAGATGCTGGACTGGCTTCTGCTCACCCTGCCCTTCAGCCCCACCCACACCCACCACCCCACGATACCTGAATCTATGTGTGCAGCTCCAAAATCTTGCATCCTCACCTTCTCGGCCACTGAGCCCTTGAGGTGAACATTATAAAATATATCCTGATTCTAAAATACAGCATCAGTATTGTACAGTGTGTATCAAAAGTGCCTTTGTCACATGGAAGAGGAGTCTGAACTAAAACAAGCGGGGGTGTCAGGACCTCTCCCTGTGGTGGGCGCCCCACAGCTGATGGGCTACTCCGTCCTCCAGGCTGAACCCCTGCTTAGCTGGAAGGGGTTTCCTTGGCGGAAGGAGGAACCATCTTCTTGGAGGAAACTGGTTCTGCTGGCCCCTGGCTCCAGACTTCTCTGTGTGCTGGATCACGGGTCAGTCACTGCCTGGGCTGGCAAAAAGCGGAGGAGACAATGAGGGGCTGGCAGGACCCCAGCCCACTCTGGGGAGCAGGTGGTGGGCTTGTGTGCGCACACATGGACAGGGAATGGCAGGCTAACGAGACAGAGTGCAGCCGGGCAGGGGCCAGGGCAACGCGGCCGCTGCTGGGGGCCCTCCACTTCTAGGATCATGGGTGCCCCACCTTTTCTCCACCCCATCACTTCCAGGAAGTTTGCCAGACACACACTGGCCCTGAGACTGGGTCCCTGCTCTAACAGGGCCATAGGCCTGAGCAAAGAGGGCTCTGGGTTCCAATTCTGGCCTGGCCCTCCGTTTGCTGAGTCACTCTGGGTAACTTGCTCAGCTTCCGTGGCCCTTGTTCGTTTAATCTAAACACAGGGTGATCGCACCAGTCTCCAAGGACTGCTGAGGATGCTGGAAGGGTAAAAGGAAATGTGGATGGGCTCTGAAAAGAGCATCGGAGGCCTACTCATAGCCACAGAGGCACCAAAAGCTGGGAGGAACAGAGCCTCTCTGTGGCCTGGGACACTCAGATCTCCAGGAGAAAACCACACACCCCACCTGTGACCCCAGAGGATGCTGTGGCCTTTACAGGGTCCTCTGGAGCCAATACCTGACTGGAGAATTTCCCTGGGGTTCCTCAGCCATAGGACCCCTACTGTATACCTCCTGAGATCCTGGCCGAAGGCCGACCTCCTCCTGACACCCACCCAAGAGCATGCCTCTGCCCCAACCACACACCTCCATCCCTCACTGCACTCCCTTCTCCAAACACCTAGAGCTCCTGGGGTGGCCAGATGGGCCCACAGGTGGTGACTGAGGACTCATAAGGAAAGGGTCCCCACCCTGGTTCTGACACCCACAGCCACGACTCTTTGGGCCAGTCCCTCATGGGCTCTGAGCTCCTCTTCCTCATCTGTAAAATGGGGCGACTATCCCCACGGGGTTATTGCCAGTGCTCAGCAATGTCAACCATAAACACCATAGAGGGACAAGAGGGAAAACCCATCTGGCTTGCACCGGTCCCTTGGGGGCACTAGGCCACCTGCAGGAAGGACAGCTGGGCAAGGAGGGGCGCAGCTCTGGTTCCTGAGATTTCACAGGCTCTCCTGTATCGGAGCCACTGAACACTGAGCTCCTAAAAGCCAACAGCCCCCCTGCTGCCCACCAGCCCAGGAGGTCTCCCCAGCGGCCGCTTTGCCCTTGGAAGGAAGCATCAGCAGGTGGTACTGCAATTGCCTCAGCAGCAGGGAGGGGACATGCTCAGCGCCAGGAGAGGGGCCACGACGCCAGGCGGGGGCTCTTACTTGGAAGGTGTTAGACAAAGGTGTAGTGGAGTCCGTTGCTTAAGGGGGGGTAAGGTGGCACGGTCCGGGAGGACAGGGGGGCTTTAGGCGGGAGGAGGGCCAGCTGCTGCGCTAGACGGGCAGACAGGAATTAAGTGGTGTGTTAGGCTCCTCGTCTGCTCCTGCAGCTCCAAACGCCCCAAACGCCCGGGGAGCTGTGGGGGGGACACGCCCGTGGGGCCGGTTGGGGCCTGGCCTGGGACTGGAGAAAGGGAGCAAGAGTGAGGAGAGGCTGCAGCAGAGGTGGCCACTCAGCGGGGGAGTGATTGCGGGGGCTCAGGGTGGGAGGCCTGGGGCGCACTCGCCTGCTGGTGGGGAGGAAGCCAAGGACAGTACATCCACACAGGTAGAGCAAGCCCAGGCCAGAGAGAAGGGTGATTTATGGCAGGGCAGGTGCCCCCGCTGGACCCCTGGACACAGGGGGGAATTCAAAACCACCATGCGGGGGCCTGAGAGACCCTCAGGATCATCCGGAGGATGGGCCTGGGGGAGTCGCCCGCTGTCTCCCCCACAAGGACGCCCTCTCAGCTGACGCACATGTCCTCAGGGGAGTCAGGACAGCAGGGACCTCAGGGATTCTGTACGGGACCAGAGCTGGGGGAGAGAGAACAGGCTCCCCCTGCCCTCCGTCATCCCACGGCTTCTTGATACAGCTCTGCTCCCCAGGGCCACCACCGCAGGCGCTGGCAGGCCCCACCCTCGGTCACTTCTAGACCCTTTGGCCAGAGCTGGAGGACTGGTGGGGACTGTGACACCACGTCACTCTATGACCACCCCTCACACCTGGCCAAGGGCACCACCTAGACATGCAGTGGCCGCTGCGTCTGGGGAAAAATAGCACTGGGAGAACTGTGAGGCTCACATAGGCAGGCCACATGTGGGTGGGGACAGGAGCCAGGAGTCTCTTTTCTAGCTGAGAGAGAAAGCCTTTTTTACACACGCGTACGTGTACACACACAAATACACATACACTCCTGAGAGAGAAAGCCGTTTTTACACATGCGTACATATACGTACACACACACACAACCTCCCATCCTGTGGTACATTTTTCCCCCACTGGACAACAAAGTCCCACTTTCCAATTCCTGCTTTCTGGCACAGGCCACTCAGAGGCAACTCTGATAGGTGGACAGTGGCTCTGATTTGGGGACCAAAGCAGAGACCCCAAGGAGGGTTAAGGGGTCCCTTCTGCCTCGTCCCAGCAAGAAATCCAAGCACTAGAGGCTTTCCTGCCCCTTACTGGTGAGGCCAAAAATCTTAGCCTTGACCCCTCAGCTCAGGAGCCAGAAAAGCCTGTTCTCAACTGGCCATCTCAGAGAGAGCGGAAGAGCAGCACCGCTCCCAGGTCTAACAATGAGCCGCACGCCCTCTCCCAGACCTCCTTCCTCCAACACCCCTGAGCACCAGTTCCCCTGCCCGGCCTGCTCCCCTCCTCCGCCACCAGCCCCGCCCCCTCCATGTCCTGCAAGGGACAGGGCAAACACCACTGTTCTTCAATTTCTAAGCCTGACACCTGCTTTCCCACCAACTCCTGACAGGCTGGGCTGGGCTGGGCCTTGAACCCAGGGAGCAGGGGCTGGGACCCAGCCTCTGAGGCTGCCCCCGCGGCCTCACCTGCCACCTGCTTGCTGCGCTGGGAGGCCTCCGAGGCGAGGGCGTAGGAGATGTTAATGATGCGCTCCTGCTCCTGCAGCTGCGAGTCCAGGTCGGCCACACTGTTCCGGTCCTGGCTGGCGGTCGGCTGCAGGTTGCACATGCTGCGGGAGGGCCAGAAAGTGGGCTGTGGGCTTCCCCGCCCGTGGCATCCACCTCAGGAGAGGGGGGTCCCCCTGGCCTGAGGATCTCACCCTTCTGGGGGCATCAGATAAAAGCAGGGCACTTTCTCTCCAGACCAAGGTGCACATGCTCCTCTCCCAATGCCCAATCACAGCTTCGTCCCTCCCTTGGGGGATCACAGACCTCAAGGTAAGAGTTCTGGCTCTAGGCTCCTATTCCCTCCAGATGTGAAAAGGCTAACCTGGCTCTGAAAGGGAGGACCTCTAACACTGAGGCTACAGGGGCTGATGGGACAGGAAAGCCACTTGCTGGGGTCCCCCCCTGGCCTCCAGGGGTGTGGATGAGGCCTCTGGCAGCTCAGGGCATGGCTGGGCCCCGGCTCTGGTCTAGGCCACAGGCCACTTTGATAGATGAACAGTGGCTCTGAGTTGAGGACCAAAGCAGGGACTCCAAACGTCTAGGGTCCGAATGAGGGAACACAGGCCCTGGGGCTGGGAGCGCCATCCTTGGGGGCGATCTCTAAGCGCGTCCACTTCACCACCACACTTGGCTCTACTCCCCACACTTGCCAGGGCCACGGGACACAGATCCGGGGGTGAGGGCCTAGCATGACCCTCTGAAGGCTTCACCACCTTCCAGGTGACCTGGGCCAGCTTCCTCGCTGATCTGTCGGTGACGGGCTGAGAGCTGGCCTGCCCCTTACAGTGAGCCTAAGATGGAGGCCTGATAAAACACACACACCCTGACCTGCCCAGTCCGGGGCCCGTTCAGCTGAGACACCCCCGGGGTGGCCTAGCAGGCTATCAGGACTCGGGTGGCGTGAGGGCTGACCTGGACCGGGTGAGGATGTTACGGATCTTCTCGGCTTTGCGGTATCGTGCCTGCAGCTCCTCCAGGCTGGGTGGCTCTTCAGGATCCAGCTCCACATAACGCTCGGGGATGGAGACCTTCTCTGGTTTGGAGAGCTGAGGAAAGGACCGGGTGGCAGTGGTTGGGAGGCACAGATGTTTGGTTTGAAACCTGCTCCCTGACCCTGTCCCCCCACCAGGAGGCACATGGAGCTGCCCACAGACTCAAGTATTTGTTAACATCACAGGGGCAGCAGTTCACTGTGGAGTCAGGATCTGCGTCTAGGTTTGACTCCAAAGCCCGTGCTCTTTCCACCATACCTGGCACCTCCTACTGGCCAAGGGAAGGGAAAGGGGAAGGCAAAATAACTAGACCAGAAGTCCCAAGGAGGACAGCAGTCACCCATGACACCACCCTCCATGTAATCTGACCTGTGCGGACCTCTCCAGCCCCACAGACCCCCCTCTGTCCCTGCTCTCTCCTCTGATGGGATGCTCCTCTCTGAGCTCCAGGGCCTCTCTCTCATCCTCCCAACCTCACCTCCAGACCGTGCCTCTCCCACCCACCTTTCCTGCCACTGCCTCTGCTTTCTGATTTGTTTCTCCACTGTCTAGCTCGGAGACTTGGTACTCAGCAGCCCTTCAGCAAACACTCCTTGGATAGTTAGATGGGTGGGTGGGCAGGTGGATGGGTGGCTGGGCGGAGGAATTAAATAAAGTGACAGTGTTTTGTGTCCCTACAAAAGGCCCTCTGACCCAGATAGGAGGCAGCCACGTTGCATCTCTTGCTCTCAAAAGGAAACTGATCCCCACTCCTCCACTCCAGTCTCTCATACAAACCCAACAGCAACCTCAGCTTAGTCGAAACCTTACTTGGGCCAAGAAAGCTAAAGGCAACTTTCACACAACTTAGGGAATTTTTTTTCTCCTTGAAAACAGCAGTACATTTTAAATGAGGTGGCTGAAACTCCTAAAGACAAGGTCAATTCAAACCCAGGGCAAAAATGGACTTGAATTCAAACCCACCCCTACCTTCCATTCTGGTGAAAGATGGCAAGAAAAAGCTCCTGTCTGTTTTTCCCAATGAAGGCAGATCCACAGCAAGGATGCAGATCACATTGCAGGAGCAGGGATTTAGGTTAGAGATAAGGAAGGACTTTTCCCCTTGGCTGGCAGGCTAATCAGGACACCACAAAGTGCACTTCCCACTGCCAAGGCACCTGTGGAAGCTTCCTTTGTGAATCTGAGAATCACGGACTTCTGGCTGCTTCAGAGGCCTATGCGAAAGGGGCTTAAGGCAGGGGACTAACCTTGTTAACCCCTGGAGGCCCAGTGGACCCCAGAACCCAGGTGCTCCACAGGCGTCAGTCTGCCCCCCTCCAGACTGATCTCTCCTTCACGCGTTAAGAGCACTTCCTCTCATGCAGTTTCAGGCCAGGCTGAGTCCTCACACAAATGTGTCTGGGCTACTGTGCACTTCATTCAACAGAGTCATCATTCAGCAAATGAGAAAGCTGCTGTGTGCCAGGCCTGAGGCTGGGTGCATAAAGGTGACCCCAACAGCCATACACACTGCTCTACAGAGCTTACGAGGGGCACAACACGGGCCTCAGGAGACCACCCTATGTCTTGCAGACCCTGAGTCTGTCATGCACTGACTCCCTCTCTCTTGGCTCGGGCAAAGACACTCCTGGCTGCGGTTACTTGCTTTTCTTGGGCCTGCCTGGTCATGGTGTATTTGAGCCACCAGAGGGCGCAAGGAGAATTCAGACCAGTCCTATTCAGGTCTCCCAGCCTCTGCCACACCTGGAAATTTCACCTGGGATTTCTAAACCTGCTTTCCCTATCCCCCACCTCAAGTCTGATTGCCTAAACTAGCCTGACTAGCCAGATGCAAGACCAACTCCTGGTTTTCCAGGGAACATATCCTAACAATAACAACTGCCTCATCACATTCCTATTACGTGCCAGGTCCTGTGCTCATAGCTTTCTGATCATTGCCAATCGTTCGGGCAATGTGCTGAGTCTCTTAACCCTCACCACAACCGACATTACTGCTGAGGAAACCAAAGCACGGAGAAGCTAGATGACTTGCCCCCAGGTACAGAGAGACGGATCTGAGCCTGCATCACAATGCCTGGACTCCTCTCACCACCTCCAGCTGCTATTCACCCATCCTCTGGGCCACAGCGAAGCCGAGCCTGTCCCATTCAGGGCAACACCCCCAGTGCCCCTGGGAGGGTGGGTCAGGCTGCAGTCTGAAGGCCATGCCTCAGAAGGAATGAGGCATGAAGGAAGCCCCTGCCCTCACCTCTCTGCTGATGTCCACGTCATAGTCTTGTGGTTCCAGGTCCAATTCAGTGACAGGCATGGCCTGCACCTTCAGCCAGCCATTCTCTTCCTTGTCCTTTCTGTCCCCTTGTACAGCCCGTTCCAGCAGCTGCAGGTCAAAGTCCTGCTCACGCTTCCACTGGCAACAGAATGAGAGGGTGAAATGTAGTCACTTCCTGACCGGCCCTTTTGGGTGGGTCTTGTGGGCACCACGGTCCTTGGGAAGTTGGGTCTGTGACTCGTTAGGGAAAAGCTGTGTGACCAGGGACCTCAACACTGTCTCTGAAAGAAGGCAGCAGCGGTCTGTGACACGGATGCTCTCTGTTGTGCGCTGAAACTCTGTGACAGAGAGAACAAGGCCTCTGCCCCTTTGATACAGCCCAACTCCAGACTGCTCATGTCTCTCTGATCTGGCCCCAGAGTGTTCAGACCTCCAGGGCACAGGTCTATGATCCACAACTTTAGACTCGCAATAGTCCCCAGGGATACAGGAAGCCCCCCCAGGTCCCAGAAGGTGACCCCAAAACAGAATCTAGGACAGAGCTCCGGAGAAGGGGTTTGCTGCTTCTGCCACCTGACAGCTCATGGAAGCCTTTCCTGGTTCTGGAGTCCTATGTCCCAGTTCAGAAACAATGGAAAAAACAAAACCCTCTGAGGCCCTGGGAAGCAAGTGGGATAGCCAAGATCCTCTCTCGTGCGAATTCCCGACAGGACACAGTGAGGGGTGGGGAATACTGCACCCACAGTGGGGCTGGGGAGGTGCAAGCAGGAGCAGCTTAGGACCTCTGAGGCAGATCAGCTGCTGTGTACCAGGCATCTATTTAAGTTAGAAAAGCCAAAAGCATGTAAGATTTAAATGCTAAATCATACTCAACAGTTCCAACTCTGTAAAGAGCAAGCTTCACAGAGGGAAACTCTAACTCAGCTGCTTTAAGATCCCAGCACAAAGAATGGAGACCCATATACATATGGCTGAAACTATCACAACATTGTTAACCTGCTATACTCCTATATAAAATAAAAATTAAAACCCAGTACAATGGTTGGGCTCCAGCTGGGCCTTCCTAATCACCTGTCGCCTTCGTCCCCACAGAACTCCATGTTGAATAGGTTGCTGAGAGGAGGCGATGGGCTCAAAGCCTCTCTTTTCTTGAGCAGAAGCCAAGCAGAAACGTCTCCATCCCAGACTGCCTCCTCCCTCTCACCTCATCCATCTCACAGAGCCTCAAGTGATCACAGTCATCTTTAATGTCCCCTCCAGCCCCGCTTACCCAAGACCCAAACCCATAGCTGTAACAGCACATTTCACCCATTCATGCACAAGCTCTCAATACTGACTCTACGTCAACATAATCGCGCTCAGGTGATGGCCTCCTACTAAAGTATGAAAGGATTAGACAGTTGAAGATTCAGGGATGAAAAATTAATTTAATGATTGATTCACAAAGAAAACACACATTTTCTGACACGCTCACCAATGCCCCAAATAGAGACAAGTCCTCACATAAACCCAGCCTGATTGCTTCCACAGACAGAAAGAGTTCACTGGACTGTACAGTGTATCCTGGGGAAGAACCACGCCAATCCATCATCATTAAGCAACACGTTTATTGGCGCTGAGGCAGAGACTTAACACAAGTCTTTTTTAAAGAGAAAAAAATTACAAAGTATTCAAGTTACGATTTTTAGATCATTTTTCTACATTTGAGACATCAGTTGTAAAAAGTCAGTTTTATCTCATAAGACATTTACTTACAAAGTTTAAAAGTTACTGGCTTTGCAGCTTTTCAGGATATGAGTGTGCTGGGTCTTATCCCTTTGGTGTCTGAGCTAACAGCTGCCAAGAGGCCCTCTGAATACAGATCATAATGTATCTTGCTACCTGTTCAACTTATAAAATACTAGAACACAAAAAAATTTTCCATAAGAAACTGTGCCGATGGGGCTGGAGGAATTAAAACTGAACCACCTCAGACTTGGCAGAATTAATTCAAACGTGCAATCTCTGAAGTCCATGTCTACTATCCCGGTATAAGGCATGGACATTAATAAATTCATCACACCCAGACCTCTGGCAAAGACCACCGCCCTTGGGCAGTGGGGCTGGCTCAGCCTTGCCGGGCGCCTTTTGGGATAAGTGAATTATGAGTCAGTAAGCCTGCATAAAGGGGGCAGCAGAAAGTGAGTCACACAAGGGAGAGCTGCTCGCTAGGCTATGGAGAAAAGAGCTGCTATTGTAAGCCTGGTAACAGGAGCACAGGCCAGTTAGAGAATGGTGGATGCAAATTAGAAGCTTCTGTAAACACAATCAGGCAGGATTAGAGAGGCAATGAGCGGTAATGCTAAAAGCAAAAGAGCTTGTGCAATGAATTAGGGAAAGAACAGTCAGGCTAGAGGTCTAGGGAAACCTTTGATTTCAAACAATAGAGAAAAATCCAATGGAATGTTTCCAAAAGGGACCTAAGGCGACTGTGGGCAGGGTGAAGTGCCTGGAAGCACCACCAGAGGGCAGCAGGCAGCCTGGCTATTCTGGGGCACAGGGCCCGTAGGTACCGCTGTGGGAGACTGCCCGGCCCTCAGGGCTGTAGGGCTCCACCCTGCTCAGTTGCTCCCCAGGGCACCTGCTTGGAGGTTTGGGAGGCGGGCTGACTTGCACTCCTCAAATCATAGCACCATCTTTCTCCTCCAACTCTGTACTTGCCATGTCCTGGGTTCAGGTGAGAGACTCAGAATGCGGAAGAAGGGCCTCTCCCTCAAGCTCGACTGGAGACCTGACCGTGGACGCTTCCTCCGGCCCCTGGGCTCCTGCCGTGACATCCGCACTCTTTCTCTAGTTCGGGGCACCCTCTGACCACGTCACTTACGTGCCCTGGCTTGTGGACACGCAGCCCACGGGGCGTTCTCTGACCCACTCTCTCGGGGGTGAGCTGGGCTTGGGTCTGGGGGGCCTCGGGGAAGCTCTGCTCCCTGTCCCAGCCCCGCCTGCCTGGACCCTCCTAACATACTGAGCCGAGGTCTCCCGGGAGCGGTTGGCTGAGGTAGCGGGACGAGGGCAGCCCCGTCCTCTCTCCTTGGCTCAGCGTCCTCTTGCGCTCCCGGACCAGCGCCTTCTGGTGCCGCTTCATGCGCTCCAGCTGCTCCTCCGCGCTCATCTTGCCCCGCTGGTGGTCTCCTGAGTACAGGCGCTCCAAGGCACTCTTGGGTCTCTGAGGGGCAGGAGGGGCAGACAGGGCGGCTGGGCTGAGAACGGAGGGCGGCCGGTCATCTGGCTTCAGCCCTGTCTCTCTTATACACACACAGACACACACTCACACTCTCTCTCCCCGCTAAGCACACTCAGAGACATAACAACCCAGCCCTCACGGGCCCTCTGGCAGCACCCCATCCTGCAGAGGCAGACCCTGAGGCCCAGGCCTGTCCCGGTGGGCACACACGCACCGTGTGATGGACCAGAACCAGGATGTGGCTCACTGGTGAGAGCCGGGGGGAAGGGCGGGGGCCCTTGGGAATGGAGGGGGCGGTGTGATGCCCCTCTTGGTGGGCAGTGGGGAAGGCATCGTAAGCACATGGTGACAGGGATGCTGAGCTGAGAAGCGGCCGGGCCCACCTCACAGGACAGCCCGTCACTGTCCACCTCAGAGCCCTTCCCTCGGTGCGTGAGGGAGCAGTGAGCCCTTCGAGAACGTCTCAAGGCCACTCACAGGGTAGGTCATCTTGCTGCTTTCGGCATCTAGACCCCTCCGGAGGGTGACGTAGGGCGCAATGGTGGACGACTGCTGGAGCCTTGACATGGACCCCGAGAGGCCTTAGTGAGGAAAGAGAAGCGAGTGGATTTGTGGTGAGGAGGACAGGCCACTAGCCCCTTCTTGATCACCTCCCACTCCCATGAGAGGACCACAAGGACCCAGCCAACAATCCATGCTTCTTCCTCCCCAGGGCCTAGAAGAGCAAGGCCCCACATAAGGAATGAGGGGCTAGCTCATGGCTGCCCTTTGTCCTTAACAGGGGACAGTGTCCCTGAAGATCTGAGGACTCCCCACATCTTCCCTCACATGCAGAAGACTGGGCTACTTGGCAGGAGGAAAGAACAGAGGCCGAGGAACACCCTTCTTCTTGATGAACTCCTATGCGTCCTGTGTGACCCAACCTGGATGCCCTGCCTGTGAGGAGCCTTTTTAAATGCCCCAGGCAGAATCAGTTATTCCCTACACTCTTCAGTATATTCACCGGTTACTGCACTAACCACAGTGTCAACATGCCTGTCGGCAAATTCAACACCTAGTTAGATGAATGAATAAATGAAGAAGGGAAAGAAGGCACCAAGCGTTCGCTGAGTCCCTGAAGCATTCACTGAGTACTTGAAGCATTCGCTGAGTACTGCCTGATAACAGGCAAGCACTGTGCCACGTGTTTCATATAGATTTTGTTCCACTGGCCCTACAAGGGAGCATTACCTAACCACTGTGACGGTGCACAATCTAAAGCTTAGAGAAGTTAAGCAGCTTGTCCAAGATTATGTGGAGCCACAGTCCAGGCTTTGTCCACTAGCAACGTTCTTACCAAGGCTGGTCCCTGTCATCTGAAAACGGGCATCATGTTGACACCACTAGCACTGAGCACATGGGAAAAGGAACGATGAATGTCTTGCAGTGCCCAGAGACTCCTGAGCAACAAAGATCTGTCCTGCCCCACGGGCCTCTAACACCGCCATTGACGAACACATCTAGGCTGAATGAAGAGAACAGAGTCCCCAGGCACAGTGCCAGGGGTCGCTGTGGCCCAGCTCAGCAAAAGCCAGTCCCCTGCTGGGACCAGCTCAGGCCGCAGCAAGCCTAGCCAGCATGGTGGGCTGGAAGTCACATAACTCCACAGGTGGCTGAACCACAGCTGTGTGGCCTCCTGTTTCCACACTGTGTCTATGAAGGAAAGCACCTGACCTCCCACCAAATCGGGGGAGTGTGGTTAACCTGCTCAGGGGTTCCACGCAGCCTCCCTTTAAAAGGATTTCTGAGGAAGAGAATCTGGCTATGGGGGAAAATGAGGCCTGTCTAAGGGCCTGTCTGCTCCCATCCCCATCTGGAGAGGGGAGAAGAGTAAGAAGAGGGCCCAAAGGAGGAAAAAGGTGTGTTTGTTCAAAGAAGGGACTCATTGAGTCTTAGAGTGACATAGATGAGGAGAAAACCTACGGAAGACCCGAGCTGGTCAAGCTGATGGCAGACAGCCCACATCTCAGCCTGTAGGGTGCAGTGGCTCGAGAGCCAGAACAGGCATTATACTCTGACTCTATCCCTTAGTGCCTAATCGGCAAGTTATTTCATTTCTCTGGGCCTTGGTTTTCTTACCTCTAAAAACGGGGCTAACAACCGTACTTCTCTCACAGGATTATTATGAATCTTCACTAAGTGAATATAAAGGGCTTATATTATAACAACCACCACAATTACCATTGTTCCCAGGGGGCAGATGTAATAAAAGAGGACGAGAATCAGGATGTGAGCCAGAGGTAAGAAGGATGGGCCCTGTCTATGGCCCAGAGGCCCTGGACAGCTGCTACCCCAGGGAGGCCCCACGCTGCAGGCAGAAAAGCTGCAAGGACTGGGTGAGGGCTGGGGGCGGGCGGTGATGTGGCTGCGGCAGGGGTCCCTGGGAAGACTCCGTAGAAAGTTGCACCTTACCTCTGCCTGGCAGCGTCTGGTACCTGCCCTCAGAGCCCACGAGGCCCAGGGAGGATGGGGCCGTGTCCCCGCTGAAGGTGGCCAGCTCTGGCTCGCTGACGTACGACCGGAGCTCCACCTGCGGGCAGTCGGAGGCCGTCACAGCTGCCCCGGGTCACTCTCCCCACACTCAGCGGGCACCCCAGGGGTCCTCCCTGCTCACCCTGGAGTCCCCGTTCACACACTGTCCCTGCTCCCGATCTCGCTTCCTCTCGTCCGACTGCCGCTTGAGGCCCCTCACTGAAGTGTGCCGGATGATGGTGGCCTCCCTCGGCAGCGGGGGCACGGCCGGGGGCTGGTCCTCTGGGCTGTAGAGCTCGGGCAGCGGGGGCCTGGGAGGTGCCTCGTCTTCCTGCTCAGAAACAAAACCACGACCAGTGCCCGGTGAGAGGATGCCGAGTGGCCCAAAGGGCTGGAGCAGGCCACCTGGGGCCTGTGGGGCACGACCACTTCAGCCCAAAGATGCTGACATTTCCCCTGGTTGAGCTGTGAGGGTGGGTACACTTCTGCTCCAAGCCCATCCTTCCCTTGGACTCATACATCTTCCAAGTGTTAACTATACACAGGTTTCCAAGTGTTAGCTACACACAACCCAGAACTCAGGACATGGGCCCACGCTCTCACTCCACTCGCTCATCTGTATATGTCACCACCCCACCACCTCCACCCCACCCGGCTTAGACGGAGCGGGCTCACATCCCTGCATGGTCCCTGGATCCTTCAGCAGGCTGCGGATCTGAGCGAGGACCTTCTACATCCTCCTGCCCTTTCCATCAGAAATGTGCATGGTTACGAAATATTTCCTCCTGCCTGACCCAGGCACTGAGCAGGCTGTCAGGATGGGTGACTCACTGCCTTCTCCGCAGCCCACTCCCTGGGCCCGGATGAATGTAACTATTTTCCTTGAATTGCCCTGTCCACAATGCTCTCCGAGGGCTGTGGCCTGACAGCCTGACAGCCTGGTCCCTGACTGCCATGAACACCCACTCCTGGGACAAATGACCATCCAGACTCTCTCCTCCTAAACTCCCCCTTTCTTAGCCTAATTTTGCTTTGGTTTTCAGATTTTTTCAGTGTTTAGGAAAGGGAGCTGCAAGCTTGTTTTGCAAAGGTTTATCAGCATTCTTCTAGAGTGACAGACTTCATTACTGTGTGAAGGTTAAGCCGCCTACCCAAGATACCCAGAGGCTCTCTGAGCATCAGTGGTTTCCAACCCTGAACAAGATCTTAGAATCACCAATCCCTAAAAAGCCCCCAGGAAAGATAAACATAAACCATTGATTGCCTTTGACTGAAGGGAACAGAAAGTCTGGACATAGAGGGTAGAAGGGAGACATTTTATTACACACTTTTTTATATCCTTTCACAGTGTTGTCTAATAAAAAAAGTAAGACATTAAATTTTTAAAAAATCAAATAAAAATGAAAGAACTATAGCTACACGCAGCAATGGGATGAACTTCACGAATATAATGTTGAAAGGACATGAGATAAGAAAGAATAAATACAGTTATGATAGATGGGTAAAGTGTTCAGGATACAAATATAGGTATTAAAACAAAACAAAAAAGCAAGGAAATTATCTGAAAAGTCAAGATAGTGGTTACCCCTGGCAGAAAGAGAAAAGAGCCTGCACTGGAAAGGGACCCACAGGCCCAAGGGCTTCTGACCACTGGCCAAGTCCTATTTCTTGGTCTGAGTATTGGTATGAAATGTGGAGTCTCTTTTTTATTATTTATTAAATTATATATTCATGCTTTATTTCAATTACAGGATGAATATCACTATTCACAAAAATAAACATAAAACAATATAAATATAAAATAAATCTGAAACAACAATAAAAAATGGTGAAACTGGTGAACACATACACAACTAGAAGGTAGGTTTTACACTGCCCTCTCCCGTGAGCCTGACGCCCAACCAAGCTGAAAAGCCTCGCTTCTGAGCAACAGCAACCGAGTGTGAAGAGGAGCCTCTGTGATCGTCTATTTCATGCTGCATGTTCTGCACAAGGGGAAACTGAGGATGCTCAGACGGGGGGTGGGCCGCCCAGAAGGGCTGGAATCCAGGCAATCCTGCTCCCAGGCCTCTTCCCCTTTTCTCCTGGTCCCAGGGGGCCGGCACCTTGCCTTGTGGGAGCAGTGTCTGCCCCAGCCACTCCTGTTGCTTGTTTTGCTATTTCCTATCTCCTGCCTTGTGACTGGTGCTCTGACTCTGAGATCTGGGACTGGGAAGGAGATCTCAAGATAAAGTTCACAGCAACCCTGGGTCCTAGTACTTGTTTTCTAGCTCTGGGCTCTAGACCATGGCTGGAAGCAGGTGGATGGTGAAGACCAGGTATGGGAAGACCAGGTATCATGTGTTTAAGCCAGCACTGGGTACTGATCTTGTCAGACGTCCTAAGCATACGTGGTGCCCAGCTATAGCTCCTCCAAGCCTTTGTTGGCAAAATCCTGGAGGTCTCCATTCCCAGGTCCTTTCTGCTATGGCTTCCCTGTCACTTGGATCAGGCCCCTCATGCTTTCCAGCCAAGGCTGGCCTGGCCCTGGAATCATGAGCTATCACAGTACCTGACCGCACCTTCTATTTCCTTAGAGCCTCCTGTGCTCCCAGACTCAGCCAAGGGCTTAGCTCCTCTCTGTGCCAGGCAAGCCAAGGTGCTGGCTCAGGCGACCACAGAGGCTACATACTGACCTGAACATCGGCTGAATGACAGTTAGATGTCAGATGGCACAAAGAATGGTCAGAAGACGTAGATTGGATTTGCTAATATGGAGACCTCGTGCAAATTTTGAACACCTTGGGCCTCAGTTCTCTTACCTGTGGGATGGGAATACTGACCTTCCTGTCTATACTCCGTGAGGTCACTGGGCAGACTGCGTGTATCCTCACAACCCAGCCCCGTGTTCGGCTGCAGGTAAAGATTCTCTTCCGCTAAGAGGCGCTCCCTGTCCACCAACTTAACTACAAGTATGCACAGAACACTGCCTGGGGCAGCCACATACTTCCCTGCACAACACAGATCATAAATTATGCCTTCCTCAGTGCAGTCACTTCTTTTTGCCCTGCCTTAGTCTTCCCAAGTGCAGAATGGGAAGCCCAGACTAGGTCACCTCTAGGGGCCTTTCCAGTTCTGGGAGACAAAGCAGGACGGCAGGGCCCCCCTACCTCATGGCTCTGGCTGGTCTGTCTGACCAAGTTTCCCTAAAAGCTTCTCTCCCAAGAGCAGTGGAGTTGAGGACAGGGTGGGACACGCACCTGCCAGAGAAGCAAGGACAGCGCTCGGCTCCCGGCCCTCAGTACTCACCACTCTGGGCTTGGTCTTGGTTGGTGACTGAAGCGGGGACGTCACCTTCCTCAGCTGGGGCGGGTGAGGTCGGTACGGCACGTAGGTTTGCAGCTGGGGGAAGAGTCGAACCTCCAGAGGGGTCCGCACAGGGCTGGTGGGAGGGCTGGGCTGCAGGGGCGGCTTGCTCTCAGAGGTCGAGAGTGAAGGCACAGGCGGGTGAGGAAGCAAAGGCACCGTTTTTCTCTCTGAGGGGCGAGGAGGGAGGCAAAGGGTGGAATGGAATGAACGTCTTGCTCAGAAGACAAGGGCGGTGACGTCTGCCACAAAGACCCAACCTCCCCGGGGCCATCCCCCAGCACTGGCACTGGCCTCCGACAGCCCTGCCCCAGGAAGATGGTCAGCTCACCTGGATTTTTGACCGATTCCACCAGGATTCTGAAGTTCTCTTTATTTGCACTCAGGCCTGCAATGACGTCTTCAATCCTCCAGAGATCCTTCTGTATCTGAGATTTCTCCTGAAGAAGAGGAGGTGGGGGTTCATTCCCTTCTTAGCTCCTCACCAGAGGCTTCTTCTAGGACTTCCATTGTCATTTCAGACAAAGCCCCTCACTCTGGGGGAGGTATCCCCTTGGGAAACCCCACCAGGGCTAGAGACAAGCCTGCTTCACAGCTTCCTGGACAAATGCAGACGTGGGAAAGACCCCAGGTCCAGGAGAGGAATCTCAGAGGAGCTCTCACCAGTGCACCTCGCCTATTTCCACTCCGTTTAAGAAAGGACTGCCTAAAATACAGAGTGATTCTATGAGGTTATCTAGAGCAGCCAAATTCATAGACAGAAAGCAGAAGGCTGGTTGCCAGAGGCTGGGAGAAGGGGGAAGAGGGATTGTTGGTTAATGTGTACAGTAAGAAAATCATTCTGAAGACTGAGTGTACAGCAACGTGAATACACTTAACGGTACCAAAGTGTATCCTTACAAATGGTTATGGCAAACTTTTATGTTAGGTATATTTAACAATTTAAAAAACAGACTGTTTCAGGCAATCACGGCAGAAGGGAAGAGAAGACAAGGATGAGAAGTGACATGATCCCTAGAATATAAAGAGCATCTTTTTAACGACAGAGCTGAGTCCTGGGATTTGGGTTGTAATATAATGGGCAGAGTAGACATTATTTGGCAGTAAAAAGGAATGAAGTACCACATCTGTTATAACATGGAGGAACCTTGAAAACATTATGCCAAGTGAAAGAAGCCAGGCATGTAAGTGCCATATATTTATGGTTTCATTTCTATGAAATGTCCAGACTAGGTAAATCCATATAGAAAGTAGAGTAGTGGCTGGCTAGAGCAAGGGTGGAGTTGGGGTAGTTATGAGGAGGGACTATAAACAGGACCACGTTTCTTTAGGGGCAAGATGGAAATGTTACACAACTGATTATGGGGCTGGCTATACAACTCTGTGGATTCACTAAAAAATCAGTTAATTGTATACTTAAAATAGTGAGTTTTATGGTATGTGAGTCACATGATAAAGCTGTTTGTTTTTTTTTAATAAAGTACAATGGGAGAAGAGCCAAGCTACATGACCATGTGCACACTATGACAAGTTACAACCAAAACCACCTGGGTCCTAGAAAGAGGTGAGCAGGATCTGCGCGACTAAGGGATCGTCGGCATCTTTCAATGGAGTTGTTTGAACATCAGATATAGTATTCTTTTAAGTTCAAAATTATCATGTCCTACCCCATGGACTTAAAAAGGAAGGCTCCACACCCATATTTCCTCTCAAGGCTCCCTGCCAGCCTCAACTGGAAGAGTTCTCATGTGTGTAATGTTTGTGGATCCTGGTCCTGGATACCTCCCCCCAGGGCCCCGCACTGAGCAGGTTCTCAGTACATGAATGATGAATAAGTAAAGGACCAATCACATAAAATCCCCTGACCAAATACTGCCCAAGAGCCAGGACAACAGACATCTGAAGCCTCCCTCCTAAGCGGGGCTCTTCTATTCTCTCTGCCTGTCCAACACCAGTGCACATGCTCAGGGCTGATGTGAAAATAGCAGGCTTAATGCTCAGCTTCCCCTTAAGGTACAAGGGTCCTAAGACAGACAAGTTACTGAGCTAATGGGATTGTCTCTAGAACTGAGGCCCCCAAGCAGAGGGCTGGTAAAGGAGGGGTGTGGGGTTAAGGTCACTCTCTCTCCTCCCCGGCAGTCTACCTGGCACAGTTCTACCTGTCGGTTCACAATCCTGCCCCCATTTTCCCTGTCACCCCAACATGTAAGAGAAGAGCAGAGAAAAGCAAAGGCCAGAGAACTTGTATCTTTCTCCAAGGACGATGGAATTTCAGAACTGAACGACAAGGTAAAGGAAGTCTTTCGGGGAGCAGCACAGAGGGGTTTCATTCCTGTGTCCTTGCATCACACTGGGCTGGAAGGCCCCTATGGACTTCATTCAGCAAAGGTCTAAACTCCCTGTCCAGAAGTAGGGACACTTAGAGGTAGCCTCACCTATCACCGACTCTCACAGTCACCTGCAAGTTCGTTTATCCTCTGGTTTCCCTACTCAGGTGGCCGTGAGGATCTTCATAAATAAAGCACTTATCTTTGCTGAAAAGGCCATGGGCTTTCTCACAGCCAACCTTGGCTAAAGAGAGGTGAGTCTCCAAGCATCATTACTGAGAATTTGCATATGGGGCTGCAAGCCTATCTCCAGTGTCAATGATTTATTTAGGACTCTCACAGCTTGCCTGGCCTAGAATTACACCAAAGAAGTTAACACCGAGCCTGCTCAAAGGAAGGCTTTGTGAGCTTCCCAGGTCACTGTGGCACTCAGGGAAAGCATGAGCAATGCCACTAGGCTAGGTAGAAATCAAGCTGCAGGGCCCTGGCTTCAGACTGGCCTATCTCCTAGTAACTTACAGGACTAAGTTCTCTACAAAGCCTGTGACAAGACCTGCATGCTGTACCCCTTTGTTTAGGGAAGAGGAAAAAAGGATTCCGGGCCTGCTGTGTGTTGTCACCAAGAACTAAGGCACAGTAGAAACACAAATAGCCAATAATCACATGAAAAGGTGTTTAACCTACTAGTAATTAAATAAAAGGAAATAAAAGCCAGATGTCCTTTTTTAGGAGGCAGACTGGCAAAAACTAAGGAGGTTGATAACATCAAGTGTTGGCAAGGGTTTGAGCAAACAGGTTCAGTACTCTTATGCACTGTAAGTGGGAGGGCAAATGAGTGCAGCCTTTTAGAGGGTGGTTTCGAGTTACCTGCTAACATTTAAGAGGTATACTCAATTCATGGCCATCGTTAAAAAGCCTGCAACTAACAAATGCTGGAGAGGGTGCAGAGAAAAGGGAACTCTCAGACACTGTAGGTGGGAATATAAATTGGTGCAGCCCCTATGAAAAACGGTATGGAGCTTCCTCAGAAAACTAAAAACAGAACTACCATATGGTCTAGCAATCCCATTCCTGGGAATATACCCAGAAAAAACTATAACTCAAAAAGATACATGTACCCCTATGTTCATAGCAGCACTATTCACAATAGCCAGAACGTGGCAACAACCCATGCCCATTGACAGATGAATGGGGTAAAGAAGGTGTGGTACATATATACAATGGAATACTACTCAGCCACAAAAAGCATGAAATAATGCCATTTGCAGCAACATGGATGCAACTAGAGATTATCATACTTAAGTCAGAAAGAGAAAAATATCATATGATATCACTTATATGTGATACTTCGGCCACCTTATGCAAAGAGGCAACTCATTGGAAAAGACACTGATGCTAGGAAAGATTAAAGGCAAAAGGAGAAGAGGGCAGCAGAGGACGAGATGGTTAGATAGCATCACCAACTTGATGGTTATGAATCTGAGTGAACTCTGGGAGACAGTGGAGGACAGGAGCCTGCCATGCTATAGTCCACGGGGGACAAAGATTTGGACACAACAACATATGTGCAATCTAAAATATGCACAAATGAACCTATCTACAAGACAGAAACTGGCTTGTAGACACAGAGCTCAAGACTTCTTGTTGCCAAAGGTGAGGGAGGGAGGGGGAATGATGGACTGAAGTTTTGGGTTGATAGATGCAAACTATTACATTTAGAATGGATAAACAACAAGGTCTTAATGCATAGCATGGGGAACTATATTCAACATCCTGTGATAAACCACAATGGAAAAAGAGTATGAAAAAAGAATGTGTACATATATATGTATAACTAAGTTACTTCACTATACAGCAGAGATTGGCACAACACAGTGAACTCATCACACTTCAATTAAAAAAAAAATCTCACAAATTAAAAAGGTTGTGTACTGATTTCAACTCAACAAGTCCACTCCTAGGAGCTTATTTTAGATAAATGCTCATAAATAAGTTCTGATAGGCAATTACATACATGCTCATTGTGACACCATTTACAAAAGCAAAACACTGCAAATAACTTAAATGCCCATCAGAAGAGGAATGGGATATCCATCTATGAAATACTATGCAGCAGTCGAGAACTAATTCCATTCACTTAGACCAACAAAGTCTAACACAATTTCTGAGATTATGGAAATCTTCTATGTGTGCTGTCCAATACAGAAGCCACTAAGCCACATGTGGCTACTGAGCACATGAAATGATTCTGGTGTGACTAAGGAATACATTTTAATTTAGTTAATTTTAATTAATTTATGTTTCAATTTAAATAGCTATCATGTAGGGCAGCATAAACTTGGAAGTATCTTTCCTGGAAAGATTTTCATAACATAAAGTTATGACAAAAAAGCAAGTTACCAAACAACGTGCTAAGTATGATTCCTCTTTAAGGAAACCCAACTGCCTCCCCCAATAACTTATATGATACTACATACATGCATTCATTTGGAAATGCATAGGTCATGGTCTAATGGCACTGACCACATGCCGGGAAGGTGACAGGACTAAGACAGAGAAGGGAAGGAAGGAAGAAGAGATTTTGTGTCTTTTTCTGGTCTTGTTTCTCATTGTGTGGACTTTTCAGAGAGATGCATTTGTGTGTTACCTGTATAATTAAAGAAACAAAAGGAATGAAAGGCTAAAAAAAGAAAAATTACTGCTGAAATTCATGTGTATGGTTGAAGTCCAAGAAGATAAGTATAATGAAATAGTTTAAGGAACTAGTAACTAGAAACAATCATTTGAAGAACTCTGCTAAGAATATCCACCTATTTACTTTTAAGCCACCATGCTAAATCTGGGGATACAAAAAGAATAGGAAAGAGCTCAAATGAAGGAAGATTATGGGAAAACCCAACAGCCACAGGAGATAAACAAATTCTAGGTAACTTCATAGGTCACCCCTGAACCACAGGCAAGAATCTCCTCCACGTGGTCCTGGAGCAAGCTCTCTGGACCAGCTCTAAGCAGTGAGTGAAAGCACAGCAAGGCCTGGGAAAAGCCTCCTAGTCCACAAACCTAAACCTTCTCCCAAATTGCTTCAGTATTCTGGGGTGATGTGGATGTGCAGAGAGTCAACACATTCATTAAATCACTTGAACGAAGAGGCCTGGCTAGAACTAGTTCACCAATTAGCAAGCCTCGCCCCAAAGCTGGCCCAGCATGGTGCCTCATACACAGGAAGCCTCAATTCAATGCTTGCTGACTTCAAATAAATAGAATTATGTCAGGGTCCTGAAGAGGGGGTACAGATCTGAAGGTGAGTTCAAAAGCAGGTTATTTTCCATTTTCAGAATTTTGAGGGTGGGGTGGAAGCCCGGCTGGGCACTCCAATGGGGAACACCAGCAGCCGGAAGACCCAGCCTGAAGAGGGAAAACCACACGGGGCCTCCTTTCTCTCACCTTTGGAGGCAGAGGCAGCTATCAACAGGGTGGCCTGGTTTTAAGGTAGGGAAGGCAGGGCTCAAGGGCTGCCTATCCTGAGTGAGGAAGGGGCCACAGCAATGGGTATCACCCCATCTGGCCTGAATTCATACTACTGATCCGGTGAGGGGTTGATAGCATCTATCCTCAGGAGTCAGGGAGGGGAGGAGATGGGGCTTCCTGCTGCTAAGTGAGCAGCTAGGAACCCAAGACAGGGCCAAAGACAAGGAACACAGATCACCCTCCAGCCCCTGTAAGGTTCTCAAGGTCAGTACCGTCTCCTCTTGGGGCTGTTTCCCCAGATGATTCGTAGAGAAACCCTTAGAAAAATGCTGAGGAGCTTGTCTCTCAGCGCAGAGGCAGGGGGAGTTGAGGTGACGCTTCTCATGACAGCCTGGCAGTGGCAAGCGTTCCCCAAGAGACAGCTTGGGGTGGTGCGCAGGCTGAGTTCAGGTGGACACAGAGAAGGGCCCTGGGTAGGGCTCACAGCCCCCGTAAGTGCAGACTCCAAGAAGAAATCAGAGCTCAGAAGGGATGGAGAGCCCTTGCGTCACCTGGAAGAAAAAGGCTCTTCTGTGTTGCTCCTGCAGGGTCTGCTTTAGCTGCTCCACATCTCTTTCTAGCTTTAGGTACTCATTCCAGGCATTTTCCATCTCCTGTGGATCAAAGAAATGCTTCCGATTCTTAGTTATCCCATGCCCGCCCCTCAGAAGGCCCCGAGAGCCCCTGTGCTCCTGACCACTGCTGACCCGACTACAGAGGAAGAGGGCAAGGGGTGCCTGAGGCGTCTCAGGCCACCTGCACTGGTCCGTCTCCCACCCCTGTGGGTGCTTTGGTTCCCAGCTCTGGCAGAAAGGGCCTCACCACATCAGACAAATAAAAGAGTAGAAACTCTGACGTCTCAGAGTTAACTGCACACAGATCAGGGGAGCAGCGGCGCAGGCTGCTCCGAGACGGCGGACCCCTCGGGGGTCACTGCAGTCACCCAGAGGCACTGACATGCACCTAAGGCAGCGGTAGCGATGGACGTGTCACCCCTGACAAAGTAAGCTACTGTCAGGAGGCGGTCTGGGGGAGTTCTGCTATTCCAAGACTCTCGCCCCTGGCCACCTTCTCAGTTATAGGTTGGGAGACAAGAAAAGCAGCCCCCTCCCAGCCCATCCTGGGGAGGGCGGGGGTGGGGCCGGGGGAGCATCTACGCACAGTGGACTCTCTGGAGATCTCAGCCCGGATGTGGACAAGGTCCTCTTGCAGCAGCCTCTGCTGGTATGCGATCTTCTCCAGGTGCTGGGGCTGGTCTCGGTACTGCTCCATCTGTCTGTGCAACACCTCCAGCACGGACTCTAGCTGGTCCTGAGCCGGACCAGGGCCAAAGAGCAAGAGGATAGCGAGACAATTCCCTGGTGGCCCCCTGCCAGGCCAGAAACTAAAGAAACCTGCTGGATCTAAGCAAGACTGAAGAGGCCAGCACCCAGCTAGGGGCCTGAGAATCAAGGCTTTTGAGTCCAGCTCTGACTTTGTCTGCCCACTGGGTGGCCTCCTGGGACAAATCGCCAAACAGTTCTGTGCCTCAGTTTCATTGCCTATAAAGTGGGCATAACGCCATCCACTCCTTAAGGGGATAAACTATGAGGCTAAATCAAAGAACAGATGGAAAACTCTCTAAGCTGTTGAAGAAGAAAATTATAAGCCAAGTCCTGTTGTTTAGCCTAAGAGATTTATTTAGTAATGTCTTCTCAGGTATGGAACCACAGTCATAATTAACATGTTGGCCAGACTAGGACTGCTGGTTAAACCATTTTATTCACCATTAAGTGATCTTTTCAATATTCTGGATTAGACAACAAATTACCTTTCTTGGGTGTTCCTTATAAACTATACTCCTGCTTGAACGTTAAATTTTTATTTCTAAAGTTTAATTTTAAGATGTTTAAATGTTCTTTGTATTGTATTTGAACTACATTAAACCAACCCTTTTTATTTTTTTTTTAAAAAAAGGCCATGTTATTTATAAACTTTGAGTATCACTAATGTAATGCCTTGTGAAAATGCAGAAAAAAATTCACATACAGTGTCTAAGAGACCAAACATCAGTGGCTACCAGCCCATTCCTCCGCTCCCACCCATACTTGTTTTCCCTACAGCCAAGATCCTTAGAGCAAAGGAACCTCAGGAAGAGACAATCTCTGCCACATTACGACTCTGGCCACTTCCCCCAAGGCAGCCCCCCATCCCTGGGTTCCAGGGACGTGGCCTCATCACTACAACCCAGGCCTACCTTTCAGGGCTGCTGGGGAGAGCTGGGTCAGGGCAGAATTAAGGTTGTGGATGTGGTATTTGGAATAAGTAGGCTGAGGTTGCCCCACAAGGCTTCCTCTGGGTTCAGAGAGAAACCCCACAAGATACCCTTAAAATGCAAAGACATTGTTCTGGATAAAGTAATATCTGCTGTCCAATACTAACACAAGAGTCCAGTCTATATTAAGGAAAGACAAGATGACAAAAGCCCCACCACCCAGGCCAAGATTACACAAAAGTGATACACACTTTGTTCTCTTTAAGGGCTCGTATCTTGTCTTCCAAGTCCTGGAGGACCCGATCTTGTTCACAGAAGATGCTCAGCTTGACCTGTGAACAAGAATAGGTTGAAGAGGGCCTGGGAGGACGAGGAAAGGGCATGGCCTTGGAGAGTGACCCGAAAGCCTTTGGCTACGGAACCATCCAAGCCCTGCCTGAAGCTGCCCACCCCGGGTCTGGGGGCGGCGGGCAGGCGAGGGGTTGTCTGTGAACCCTGCTCACTCACGTCAATGTCACTCTCGGCGATCTTCACCGGTTTCAGACTTCGGTCCTTGAGGAGATCCCGGCCTGTCATCTGGGAGGTGAACAATTTAGAGAAGATTTAACCACAGGGTTCAGAATCAAAACTCAGGAGGGAAAGTTTGCCCTACAACAGACAGGTGTGGAAGTCTCGGCAGCGGTAGGGAGGGTCACGGCACAGAAAGGGAAGAAACATGGGCAACACCTGCTTTATTTTTACGCTTATTTCATTTCAGGGAAAAAATAAATGAGATCTTACTAGTACTTATAAATTTCTCAAAGAAAGTATAGACTTTCAAGCTAATAGTAAAGGTTTAAATTTGGTCCAAATGAGTTCAATCTGAATCATGGAAGATTTGCCACTGATAAGAGAGAGTTTTGCTACTAAATCTGGGGTCAAACGCAATTAACAGAAGTCCATGACCCCCGCCTGGGGCTATGGAGTGAGTGGACCAAGAAGAACTAACAAATCCCTTGGGCATCGTTGAGCCCTTAGTTCAAGGAAGTCTGAGCAGCCCCCACCCCAACGAAAACAATCAGCCTTCCTCATTCTCCACTATTTAGCAAGAGGATCTGGTCAAAGGAAGAAGCACCTGGGTGATTCCTGGCTGGGGTTTTCAACTAATCCCTGAATGGCTGAGGTTGGTCTGAACTTGCAATACAAGTTACCCTGTCCTCTCAAGAAAAGAAAGCACAAAGCAGCAGCCAAAAGCCACCCAAACTTAGGGGCCAGCAGAATTTCACAAGATCTGCCATCTTTTCCTGGACCAGTGCGGGAGACACGTCACCCTTCACTCACTGCTCACTGGCCTCTGCGAAGTTAAACAGGAACTCTCTAGGCCATGTTTTCATTTCCACCAAGTCTCCTTCTCTGTCAAAAACTGCAAGAGCAGAGGGACCTTTTTCACAGATGCACCCCAATGGCCAAGCCATGGTCAGGGACGGCTGGGTCAAATGCCCCTTGTAGGGGAGGCCACCTTGCTGAACTCTGGTTTGCAGATCTGGCCAGAGAAATGGAGGGTGGAGGGAGCTACAGCAGAGAGAGATGGTGTGCGCACTACGCAGAGGGTCCCGCCACGGATGGACACACAGCTGCTGGAGAAACGGCCCTTACTTCCTCCCTACTCTGTCAAGATTAGCAAATATTCCCCTCAGAATTCAAAATCTGCGTACCCAGATCCAAAGGTCAAGGTCAAGGGAGAAGCCTTCTCCACACCGTGAGCTGAGGGCCGAGTCTGGGCTGCAGACCCACCGCCACCCACCCCCCTCCTGCCTTGGGTGGCACAGTGGAGGACAGGAACCACTGTCTTCTTTATCTTGGGGGAAGCTGGCCCCGGACGGAAGGCCTGGCACTCTGGAAGGCAATAGGCAAACTGCTTACTGCCTCCCAGGTAGGTGAAAGGGAAATATATGTAGGTCAGTCCTAGAAAAAAGTGGAATCCAGCCAAATTCTGCTCTTCAAACTGGCAAATTACGTGTACATACACAGTCACATACAGTCACAGGACACAGTGACCACAACAAGAATTCACAGAAACAGACTGCGCTGGCTCCTGAAGGCGCAGGGTGGGTGTGGTGGGGGAAGGGAGGGAGGGGCACGAATCCTGGGGAACCAGGGACAGCTGAACTTCCCAGGCAGGACACGGGAACCCAGAGGGCAGAGGGTGGGGTCCTTCACTCCGTGCCACAGTCCTTTGCCAAAGTGAGGGGCGACGTGCTTGTCTACTCTCCCAGGGGCTGCCCCTGGCTCACTTCCTAGGAAGAAATCAGTTTCAAATTGAGATGTGCTTTGGGGATTTTTTTCCTCTTAGCAAAAACTCTTTCCTTTTTGTCACTGAAGCTTTTTTCTGGATGATACGTTTTTGATACTGAAATAGCAAAGGCAGGGAGTCCAACTGAGCAATGCCTCATTTATCCAGCACCGTCAGGCAAGGAATGAGGTATTTCTACACAAAAAGAGCACTTTCAGAAAGCTTTTAAACTTTTTGATGGAACGCTTTCTAAAAGTATGTCCTTCACTGCCTTCATGGAATACTGAATATAAATTTGACCTTTCTGGGGATGAATCAGAGTCATTACAAAAATCAGTAATATAGAATTTCTTAGAAGTGTTCAAGACTATTTGCTTATCTAGCAAAATGCTCCCAAATTTCTGTGCTTTCATTTCCATTTCAGATTAACGTAAAATGTTTCTTCTCTCTCTCAGGATATTAGCACTCTCTCTTTTCTAAGAAATAACTTTCTCTTTGTCCCCTCTTAATGTGAGGCTTTTAAGGTGCTACAACTTAGGAATTCAAGTGACCGAGTCTATTAGGATTAGAAACTCAGCTGATGGGGCCCACTTGCTGCTCTTCTGTCCCCCTCCCTCCATCTGGGCCTGGTACCCATCCAGGGACATCCTCGCACAGCTGGGGTCTGCCACTACTAGGGGCCTTAGTAGACAATCTGTGTCCCCTCACTTGACAGTAATCTATTTAGGAGTAACTGTGGGGACTCTCATGTTTTTTCTCTGTAACCTCAAAGCCCAGCCCAGGGCCCAAAATACTGAGGATATTTGAGAAGCATTTGCTTAGTGAGTCTGTGAATGTAACGAAACCAGGTGCGTTGGCTGTGCTCAGGGCCCGAGTCCTCTTTCTATGGGGTAAAGGTCACAGGCTTCAGAGCAGGGGCTACGGGACAGTGTTTAGATAGGTCACAGGCCCTCTAAGCTTCTAAATTTAGCTTCATTCCAGAGAATCGAGGCTACTAAATAGAGTCACAGCAGTACGTTACACCTAATTTTCCTTTTCAAATTGCACTTTGTGATAACAATGCTTAAGTCCATTCAGAACATTAACTATGAGTCCACAACTGTGGGTCCAACTAAGTCACCAGAATAAGTAAAGTTAATGGGAACTCATTCATTTGAAAGAGTCTTGGCATCAGAAAGGAATTAATGGTCACCCAGGCATTTGACTCCCCTCCCGTACACTCGAAGACACCTACGCTCAGGGCTTAAGATGACTGGACACAGCTCCTGTGTTCCCTCCTGCAGCCTCCTGGAGATGCTTTAAGAGCTGGCCATGTTTCAGGCACTACCTCTGCATCTCTCAAAGAGGAGGGTGCTGGGGAGGTGGGTGTTTTGTTCTAATCCAGATCTAGAATGTTTTCAAACATCAACACCTTGCCCCAAAGTAGAGCCACCCTCATATCAGGGCTACAGTGGAATCTCAGGACATCCTGTCTCCTCCAAGGTGACCAGGAACTGCTGCTCCATCCCCAGGAACACATGCTCTAGGGCAGCCCTCGCCATGGAGGCAGACAAGTGAGAATGGAAACACAACACAAGCTGGTGGCAAGCTAGGCAAGCCCCCGCTCCGCCCCCCGAAGGTAGCACAAAAGATGGAGTCACAAAACACTACAGATGAAGGCTCAGCCTGGTGCACCAGCCAAAACGCTGAGGGAGCTTCAGTAGAAAGAAAATAAACCGAAAATGACTTGCAGGAAGCCTGGGGGCGGTCAGGAGAGCCCCTGGTTAAGCAAGTGATGGAGTCGGCACTGAGCCAGAAGCAATGGAATGGCCCCGCCTGGAGACACAGATCAGGTCATCTTACGCTTCTCCTGGGCCGACAGCCCCGTGCTGACTTCTTCAGCACTTTGTAAAGCACGTTGATCAAAGGTTCATTATTTTTTATCTGTTCCAAACAGAAAGGCAAATACAACAAAACGTAACAGGTAAGACATCAAACGACATTTGAAGGAGCCAGAATTTGGGGACGTGGAAAGGGGAAACCTTAGGAGGATGTGTGTTGTACAGTTTTAGTGAGTGGGTCTCAACTGGTTATGCTGCTTCCCAGCCAGTGGGCCTTTCCAGATTTCAGTTCCCTCATCTGTAAACCGGCCTCCTAAGCACTGCCTGGAAGATCTTCGTGAGAGGGCTGATCTCAGTGCCCATGTCCTTCCTGGTTCTGAAGGCAAGAGGAGACTCTGCTTCTGCCTGCGTCCTCCGTCATCACATACTGAAAGATACTGAATCTGTGGTTTAGCGTGAAGCCATGCGTTAGCCAACATTTTCCATCTTGGGTCTGTCAGACTCTCGCCGCTACACCTAAACAATTGTCTTACCAACGACGCCAAATGCTTCCAGCTCCTTTGAGGGGCCACTCTCCCCACCTGCTAAGACTGGATCTCATCTCTGCCTCCACTGTGGTGATCATCCAGGAGCTTTAAAAAAATACTGATGCCTGAGTCCCACTCCAAGAGAATTTGGATGTAATTGGTCTGTGGTGGGGCCTGGGCACCGGGATTCCTAAAAGCCCTTCTGGATGAGACTAATAGGTAGCCAGGAGTGGGAGCCACTACACTAAAAAGGGGTTCTTAAACTCAAGCATCCTTCAGAATCACCTGGAGGGCTGTGAACATACAAATTTGCTGGGACCCATCACCAATGGTTCTTACTAAGCAACTCTAGGGTGGGACCCAAGATTTTGCATTCTGACAAATCCCTAGGAAGTGCTGACACTGTCAATCTGGGATCACATTTTGAGGATCACTGCTTTGAAACCATGTTTCTCAGCCACAGCTACACATGAGAAACACCTAGGGAGTTTTTGTTTCTTTCCTTCCTTCCCTCCCATTCTTTCCTCCTTAAAGGGTGATACCTGAGTACTACCAATTAAATCGGAGTCTCTAAAGGGTAAGACCCAAGCATCCATATGCATTTAAAAAACTCACCTGGTTGCTCTAGTTCATGACCAAGGTTAACAACCTCTCTCCAGAATAACAGACCTCAACTTTCTGTGTACAAGAATCCCCCCAGAGCTTGATTTTTAAAAACACAGAATTCTGGGCATCATTTCCAGAGATGCCCAGCATCCTCCAGACCTGCAATTTTTTAAATCAAGTTCCCAGGCCATCCTGAGACAGACGATGTCCCAGACCATGACTTAGGAGACTCTGCTCCGAAAACAGACTCTGAACAGAGAAGCCCCAATCTCAAGCACAGTCAGAAAAAGTCCAGAGACCAGGCACGTGGAGCCACTGATAACGTCCCTCACCAGGGCCAAGAGCCCCTCTGAGGCTGATGGCAACTGCTCCTCCTAATGTGGCTGCAGGTACCCTCTCCCCACCTCACTTTTCCAGCTGTGCTTTCCAGTTACATAAAAATAATTCAAACTGTCAATAACTGCAAACCCTCACACCTGCTTTTTAGGCCTGGCTCAGGTGTAGGGTTCTGAAGAGCAGAACATTAATGCCAAAAATACAACTCAGTGAATACAACTTCAGGGCAGGCTAAGTATCAGAACATGGCACACGGGAGAAAGGAGGCAGGTGTGAAGTTAGTCACAGGGTTTGAATCTCAGTTGCCTAACTTTGCAGAAATTACCTCTCTGGGTTGTTTGATTAGTGTGGTGGAATAATAATTCGTATTTGCCTGCAGAGGATTTAAGTGAGACAATGAACATCAGGTGCACAAACAATGCCAGGCAGGAACAGACGCTTAATCAACGTGAAATCCATTCCACCCTGGCAACACCAAGTAAAATGCCAGGGAAGTAAACATTTCCGAAGAACACTAACACACAGCATTTTTAAGACAGTGGACTTTGCTTCTACTTGGTTCTTTGGCACCCCAGAAGGAATGCTCACTTTAGGAGATCGGGCTCCACAACACGTGGGCAAGCACACACCACCAACTGGTTCTGGAAGCCAAGCATCAGCTGATGGGACATGGGCGCAGGATCCTCAAGTCTGTGGCATTTGGGATAGAGACATGAGGGACCATAGGCCCACCTGGTGGGGGCAGGGAGACTGTCTTTCTCCAGAAAGGCTTAGCTCTCCTCATGAGGACCCAGGAGGAACCTCTCCCAAGAAGCTGGTCACAGCAGGGGTGTGAAGAGCATCTCCACGCCCAAGTTGGGCTACGCACCCATTCAGATGTCAACCTTTCTGAAGGTGACTCACAGCGCAAACCCTGGCATCTTTCCCCACACGTGCTGCTGGTAAGCCAAGTGTCTCTCACCTGCTGGTGCTGTCACTGGGGGACGGGTTCTCTAAGAGGAGCTGAGCAACTGGAGTAACAACTCTAAGAGCAGGGAAGTGCTGGCATCAACACAGCTGTTCTCCATGACAAACAGTGACAATTTCCAATCATGAGCTACTGTTTTGGTCACGCACGTCTCCTAGCTGGTAAAGACAAAGGATCCACCTTGCCTCTCTCTATCACATCATGCACATTTCCTGGCAGAAAAATCCCAGTTCAGCTCCATAAAAAACCTAATGCCTTTGGGTCCACAGTCGTAGAGGTGGTATTGTAAAAGCAGCCGGGAGGTAGGGGGTTTAAGAGCACCAGTTTCAGAGTCAGTGCTACACCCAAGTACAGAATCCTCGGTGACTACCTACACGGCCTTGGGAAAGTCGTTTATTTCTTTGAGGTTCGGTTAGTGAAGACTATAACACCACCTCCTTTATAGGGCTACTTACAGGGATTACTTAATTGAATAGAAGTGAAGTAATACATGGTGACTGACACGCATACCCTCTGTGGCTATTCAGCTTCTGTGGGGAGTCAGGACTCACAGGGCCTTCTGGCTCTGCTCCATTATTCTGTGCCTCAGTTACCCCTTCCCTCTCTCTCAATCCCTTTAGCTCAACGCAGGTTTGATCCCTGGGTCTGGAAGATCTCCTGGAGGAGGCCATGGCAACCCACTCCACTACTCTTGCCTGGGGCAGAGGAGCCTGGTGGGCTGCAGTCCACGGGGTCACAGAGTCGGACATGCCTGAAGACACTTAGCACACACACTACAGTCTGTAAACAAACCTGAGCTGGAGCTTCTCTCTAGGACCTGCTGTGAGATCAGCTATCCCACACAGACGGGAGTCAGAAGACAGCTATTCCTGTGACTCTGGCTCAGGCACTTTATTAAGTTCCCTCGCACCATGCACCAAGTTCTACAAGGTACGCTTGTGCTGCTGTGAGCCATGCCTCTCCCACAGGCCCAGATAACATCACGGATGCTCTACAAATATTTCTGTGTGGCCTGCATGGCCCCGGAGTCGGAGGGAAAGAAGAACTGAACGGGGGCATGGTGAGGTCAGGGAACAAGGATGTGGAGACACCCAGAGCAGGTGGAGATCGGGGGCTGCTGATCCTCGCTCCAGGTCAGACAGGGGAGGTGGGCATGGTGGAAGGACCTGCCCAGGATCAGAATACTGGAGGCTGGGCTGGGTTGCCCATCTGGCCCACGCCACCATGTCGGAACACTTGCCATCCTGAGGCCTGACTGCCACCACTGACAACACTCACTTATGTTCTGCATGGCCTATCAACCACAAAAGCTAGAAGACATCCTGGTTTTGAGAGGACCCTCTTTGTTTAGCTCATCTGTGAAAGCCAAGTCTGACTTTTGTTCACTGCACCTTCCTTCCTAAAGCCTAGGACAGACAGGATTGTCCAGAAACCTGGACAATCTGCCCCCACGTCCCCCAAGTCCCAGCCACACCCGGACTCCCACCGTCCCCTTCCCTTTAATTTCAACCAACCCAAGCCCTCTGGTTCTTCAAGGCTCCAGACACATGCCGCCTCCTCCAGAAGCCTTGCCGACACATCAGCCCACAGGGATCCTCACTCTCTCAGATCTGAGCACTGAGCCAGACACATCTTTATACCCCCGCTTGGCATAAATCTGTGTTATTTCAGGATATTTTCTTTCCCCAACCCAGAGCATATGGAAGTTTCTCAAGGGAAGAAAGCCTCAGTTTTTCTCTTGCCTCTCCCCCAGTTTCTCTGAGCTGGGTATAGCACAAACGCTCAAGTTATTAACAGATAGGCAAGTTAACTGAGCGATTCCTAATCAAAGGACTCGATCTTGCCTCAGAGTGGGGAGGCCTCTCATCTGCTGCCTGAGGACCCAGCATTCATAGTCCTGCTTCTGCCAGGCTGGATGACGAGGTGGGGTTAAAAATAGGTCAAGCCAGGTACCCTGGGGGCTGAGGGAAGCATGCCCCTGTGGCTGTCACCTAGGTGTCCTCCCTTGGGGCCCCTTGCCTGCCCTCTCACACCCACGGTAAATTAAAGGTCACATTCCTTCATTCTATGTCCTGGCTCAGGCATAAGAAGTGCTTTTCTCAGTGGGAGCTTTTGGAGAGCTGTGGGAACAAAACAATAGCTGCTCTCTTCCCAGGAGAATGCCTCTCACTTCTCCAGCAACTTGCCCAGCTCTCTCTGTGCTCTGGAGGTTGATTTAGAGCCTGAACTCCATCACCTACAGGGAGGGGTCCGGTGTTCATCTCCTAAACACGGGTGGAAGGCCACAGTACCCCTCAGGGCCTCAGGATTCCATGTGGTACCTGCTCTTCCAGCAACAAAACTGAACCACCAGTGCCTGAAAACACACGTCAGGGACACCCTGTGAACCAAACCCACCCCCACCCTACTAGAGGCTCTGAAGAAGCAACTCGGTATTATTTGGAGAAACCTTGTGGTTCTAACCAAGGACAGGAAGAGACCAAGAGCATGTGCCTTCATTTTGTAAACCAGAAACCTGACAGCAAAATTCATGAGAAACTAAGAGCCCGGAGTCTGAGGCTGTAAGAAATAAAGACTCTTCTGAGAGGGACAAACTTCTGGTTATAAAACAAATAAATCATGAGGAAGTAATACACAGCACGGTGACTATAGTTATCAATACTACATTGCATATTTGAAAGTTGCTCAGAGAGGAGATCTTAAAGGTTCTCATCACAGGAAAAAAGAATTCATAACCAAGAATGGTGATGGATGTTAATCAGACATACAATCACTTCCTAATACATACAAATGTCATTTTGTTGTACATCTGGAACCAATACAATGTAATATGTCAATCATATTCCATTTTAAAAGTGAAATTTTCAAAGCCACAGCAACCAAAGAAAAAAAAAACAAAAGCACCAAAACAAAACTTCCCCCTTCCGATTCAGACAGGAGACATCTTCATTTGAAACCCAGATTTACAAGACCTGCAAGGCCTCTGGCTTTGGGGCTAGTCTCCGATGAGGCTGACACTCTCAGAAAGGTAAGCGCCAAGGAAGGCAGACCCCTGAGGCCACTCACCTTTAGATCCAGGTACTCCAGGTCTTTCTTCAGCTGGAGGTAGGTATCGTCAGCCTTCAAATGAAGCAGAGAGATAAAAAAAGCCAGTTATGAAAACCCAAAGGTGTCCATTCCTCAGGGCTTCGAGAGTGAATCGTTTACACGGTGCAGCTTCAGGGACAAGAGACCACAGGAGAACAACACATCCGAGCCACAGAGGAAGCACAAATGTCTCGGTGCAGCTCAGAGCCCCTCAGCATGGTGGATCTCACGGGGCCACCATGTGCGGAAAGCCAGCGTGCCCCCACCACGGGCTGGGGACAGTCTGAGGGGGAGGAGGGGGCCAGCACACATCCCATCAGAGGGCTAGGACAGCAGCGCAGCTGCGGAGGTGTGCTCCAGACACAGAGCTAGAGGGGTCTGCCTGGAAGAGGACATGCTACGTTCCAAATCTGGCTGTCAGACCTCTGCACTGTGCAGAGGAAAATGACCCTGATCGGTGCAGACTGGTGCCTGGAAGAGGCATGGAGATGACACAGGTGACCCAGGGAGGTCCCCTTAAGACCTTGGGTTCCAGGAGGATAAGCACCTGAGGCTACATAAAGTCCCCTGGAAGTTCTGGCTCCATTTGCTCAGCATGGAGTCAAGTTGGCTGTGCTGGGAGCTAGATCAGGCAAACTGACCTACCTGTGTCATCTCTGACAGTCTGTTGAGTTCTTCAGTATAATGACCAGAAGCAGTGAGAATAAGGAAAAGACTCTCTGACTCCCTAGAACTGGTGCTTTCCATGTAATGGGTCACAGAAGCTAACTGTGAGGAAGAGGGACTATGAAAGCTTCAGAAAAACAGTCCCGGCACTTTCTCAGCCAGCTCAGAGGCCTGTCAGCAAGCCAGGGCTGCGAGGGTGGTCTGGGTTTAGAGCTCTGATGTAATAACAACAAAAACAGGGACTTCCCCACTGGTCAAGATGCTGTGCTTCCACTGCAGGGGGCATGGGTTTGATCCCCAGTCAGGGAACTAAGATCCCAAAAGTTGTGTGATTTTTTTAATCCCCCAAATTAAAAAATAGACTACAGGCTTGCTGAAGTATTTTTTAAGAATAAATAAATAATGCTAAATGTTTAGGCAGTGCTTTAACGCATAAGAAGGCCTTAAGGACCACGGCCAGGGACACCAGTGGCTTCCAAGATCTTATTTCTGACCCTAAACTGTCTCCTCACCCATTCCTACTTCCTCAGTCAGCCCAGTTCCACAGCAGTAAGACGGATAGTGCCAAGCAATGTTATTAAAAAATCACCCAAATTCACAACTTAGGGTTTTTGCATGTGTTGCCTTAGATTCATTTTTCCAAAGACATTTCCTGAGTCCTTCAGGTCCCACTAAAATAGGACAGGTAAGGAAGATGACAAGCCCTCTCCCTCCTCATCTGTCTTCTACCTACTTCTGTGCAGCGGGGAGGCCAGCCTTGTGTGGACCAGCATTTTCTTTAGGATGATGTTCAGGATGCCCAGGAGAACAACTGGCTGGCCACTCAAGGAGCTTGCCTGCAACCCCCCATGTGGTGGAAACACTGTGCCAGACAGGACCTGCAATTCGGCTCTGGCCCTGCATGCGCCTGACTGCAGGATCCTGGGCAAATCACTTCCCCACCTGTCTCACCTAACCTGTCCCAGGTTACTGGGGAGTTCACCAGGCTAAGGGGTGTGAGGATGCTCTGTCAATCAGCAGGGCACTGTCCAGATGAGAGGGCATGAAGCCTTCTCCTTCTGGGCTGACACACACCTTTCAGCATCACAAGGCGTGCCCAAGGTGGCAACAAGGGTGACAGCCAGCACAGCTCTTGGACGTGACCACACACCAGCCTGGCAATCACTACTCGCAGGCAGAGAAGCCACAGTCCAGGTCCCTCACACCCCATGCAGCCTCCCCCGCTGCTCCCAAGCACCAGGGGCGTGGGCCCCCCCCCAAGACGGCTGCACGGTGTCTGGCAGTAGCATCCAGAAGCGAACAGGCAGGAACAAGGGAGAAAGCCAGACAGCAGGACAGACTAGAGCAGGGGCACGACGGAGCACAGGCCAGCATGGCACTCCCTGGTCCCCAGGATGGCCCCCAGCCCTGAGAGGGCCCACCAGCGCTGACCTGGCAGGAGGGAAAGGTCAGCTGGTGCTGCAGTAACTGGCCGATGGCGAAATTTCGCACACTGGCCAACCTGGCCTGGTGCTGCCGTAACTGGGTGAGAAGCAGTGAGAGCTCCTCCAGCTGCGGGTGTGCAAGACACATCGTGAGGAAATGAGCCACCACGGGAGCACGGCGCTATCATTACTCTTCACCCCGCTGCCGGGGCAGCACTGATGTGACACGGGTAAGTAATTATGGCACTAATTCTGTCATTAGGACAAATAAAGGCACCGGCAGAAAGGGGGATGCAGGAAGTAGTGTGTATCAGGAAACAGCCACCAGCAGTGCAGCCTCACCCAGACTTGAACTTTGAAGACAGGGACCTCATCAAAGCCAACGCAGGGAAGAAAGGAGAGATGCCAACAGGCGGGGAAAGGCAGGTGGCTGGAGAACACTGCCCCAAAAGAAGACACACCACATCCTCCTCCATTCCACATTCTCCTCCACTTTCCCCAAGTTCTCCCGCCAACCTCGGGAGGACCCAGTCCTGGCAAGACAGGCCTGGGAAGCTCATTTGACTTCTCTGAGCCTCAGTTCCTTATCTCTAAAATACAGATTGCCTCTGACTGGCTCCTGGGAGAACCCTGATGAGACGAGCCCTTAGCAGGCAGGATCAGTTCAGTCACCCAGACCGAGAGAGGAGGCGCTGCTTACCGATTTTCCGTGTAAACTGGGAGCGCTGACAGTGTGGGTCATGTAGCCCATGGAGGGCATGGAGCGTCGGTCCACGTGAGAAGAGTTCTGCAGGAGAGGAGACAAGACATCACAAGGGGAGCCAGGCAAGGCGGCGGGGCCGGGGCGGAGCCTCCGCCACTCAGCACCGTGGCAGCCGAGCCAGGTCAGGGCCCCTCTCTCAGCCTGACTCTTCATCTGTCTAACGCAGACCCCCACCTTCCGCACTGGGTCACGACAATGCCTAACTGTGACAGACCCTCAAGAGCCCAGCTTAAGCCGGGTTCTTAAAAATAACTGAACTGGTTGAACACAGACATCTTTCCCTGATTTCAAAGCTGAAAGGAAGTAGAGTTTGAGTTGTGTGACCCTGTGCAAGTAACTTCACCTGTGTTTATGGGCACACAGGGATCTCCTGCTTTCCAAAAATTTGTTATATGCCACTTTGATTTTACAAAAGACCTACCTTTAGTACCTGTTTTTTGATAACTGAAATCCAAGGGAGATTTTCGCTTTTACAGAAAAAGGTAATTGCTTCTTTGCTTTAGGCCCTCTTGGCTTACAAAAGGTTTCACAGGAATGCTCTACCAGCAGAGAGCAGGACACCTGAGGAAACAGCACCCACCTCACAGGCCTGTGGCTGAAATTAAAGCCTTCAGTGCTGCACCCAGTGCTACAGTGCAGAACTGCAGGAGGGTTACCTAGCATCGCCCTGTATTGCTCGAATTCGTGTTCAAACCACGTGAAGCTCCGGCACCATGAGGCTGCCCGGCAGCTTGACAGGGCCTCCAGAGTCTCACCTTGGTGGCGGGGCCCCATGCCTTCCTGGGAGAACCCCCCAGAGAGATGTCTACGCTCCTCCTCTGGTCCGGTGGCTTCACAGTGACCCTCTCTGCCGGCGTGTGGGGCCGCCGGGGTGGGAAGGCCCTCGGGGGTCCCGGGGGAGGGAGGTCGGAGGGCGACGGAGGCACGGAGATGGAGCGGGGCACCTCTAACATGCTCCTGCTCCGGCCCTGCTCAGCGAACTCCGGGGAGCCGGCGCAGATGGGGGCCGTGGGGCTGCCGTGCCGGAACTGCTGGCGCTGCTGCCACTCGTAGAGCTGCCAGACGGTGCCATCTCGGTGCGCCCGGCGCTCCTCGCTCGACATCTTCAGGTGGCTGGCGCGGTCCTGCGCGTACTTGTAGTCGCTCGGCAGGTTGCGGGGAGGGGGCGAAGAGCCCCCCGAGGGGTGGCGGCTGCTCCTCGGAAGGGTCTGGTAGTTTTCTGGGAAGGACAGGTGCTGGCTGGGACCCTGGCGAGGGAGGGTCTGCTCCGGGGGCAGGCTGGGGGGAAAGGAGAGGACAGGTCAGGGGCCCTGCAAGGGGTCTGCGGGGCAACGCCACAGAGCCGGGCCCTGAGGGAGCCCTGCCGGAACCCCAAAGAACAATCGACACAGACGGCCGGCACTTCAGTCACTTCCTCCCAGAGCAGAGCGCTCCTAAACCACCTTCTCCATCAACCTTGCAGGGTCAACCCCCTCACCAGGCCGACTTGGCCACTTCACTTCCGGTGCAGCACAATTAACCTGCCTCTCTCCCTCTTTCCCTCTCTCTCTCTCTCTCTCCCGCCATCGCTCAGCTCCTCCCTCGGGTGTGCTGATCTCTAGGAAACGCCTCACAATTTCCTCCAGTCACCAAGATGCTCCCGGCACCAATTTCTGAAGCTTCTTAAAGGAAGTGGCTGGCATCAGTTCCTTCCTTTCCCCATCATTCTAGTCCAGAAACTGATTAATGACTGCCTCCCAGACAACTCGTCTCAGTTGGTAAACAATCCGCCTGCAATGCAGGAGACCCCAGTTCGATTCCTGGGTCGGGAAGATCCCCTGGAGCAGGGATAGGCTGCCCGCTCCTGTATTTTTGGGCTTCCCTGGTGGCTCAGCTGGTAAAGAATCTGCCTGCAGTGCAGGAGACCTGGGTTCGATCCCTGGGTTGAGAAGATCCCCTGGAGAAGGGAAAGGCTACCCATTCCAGTATTCTGGCCTGGAGAATCCCATGGACTGTATAGTCTATGAGGTCGCAGAGAGTAGGACACGACGGAGTGACTTTCACTTTCACTTTTCAGACAACTTGGAGACCTTTCTATCTAGTCTCCCTGTTGTACACAGTCAGCTGCTTGGATCCAGTCACTCCTGTGCTCCAAAACCATCAAGGGTTCCCTGCTGCTTATGAAGCAAATTCTCCCGATACTCACTGCTCTCTAGCACCTGACCTCAACCCTCACCGTCCTGCTGTTTTCTCACTGCTCCTCCTAGCCAGGCCAAGATCAAATCAGGGCAAGTTGAGCATCAAAGGCCCAACACTTAAAAAGGCACCCCCTCTCAGTTGCACCCCTGCCTCACCTGACCTTATCCGGCCTCCTACATACTTGGGCAACTTGAATCCACTGGCTGTGTGATCCTAGGCAACTTACCTGACTGCTCTGCCTCAGCTTCCTCACCTACAACCTGAGGAAGGAACTACTTGCCTCCTAAGGCTGAGCTGAAGAATGAATGAGACAGGCAGAGACTGCAGGCTCCATGAGACGCAGACAGTTCCTTCACCAGTAGGTGAGTCCTTCCAGCTTTTCTCTTATTCTCATAGTACTGTTCCTCTTTTCCCTACTTGCATGGGCTCATCTTGCCTACTGCCAACTTTCACTCATTCTTTGGGACACACGCCTCTTCCACGGAGCCCTTCTGCAATGCCACAGACCTCGGGGTTCCTGCCCTGCTCTGACCTAGTTACTGTAGGGTCTGTAACTTTTCCAAGGTCCTGAAGTGATGTAACCTTTTCCTACTTGTAAGCTGTCTCTTCCCCAGCCACGCCGTAAATCCTTGGGGGGCAGGAACTGTGTCTCACATTCTGTGGTGCTGTCCACGGTCTGAGAAAGTCCTGACGCATCCCCAGGACATACCCTTCAACAAATACTCCGGCACACGAAGGCTGGATAGGATCATGAAAACCACTATCAAACAGCCATTTTATTTTCTAAAAGAAAAATTGAGCAAGGGGCCAAGTAGAGGGTTTTATTAAGCCTTGAATTTATTAAGCCAGTCTGAGGCAGCATGATGTAAAAAGGACAGGTTTTTAGAATTAGGCCCAGGTTGGAATCCTGACTCTGCCTGTATCGGTTTTATCTAACAAACCTTTATATTGTGCTTACGAGGTGCCAGACCTTGTTGTAAACCAATCTACTCACAGCATAGTCCCGCAGCCTCAGCACCACCTGGGGATTTGTTAGACATGCAGGTTATCAGGCCCCACCCAAAATCAGAAACCCTGGGGCTGAGGCCCAGCCACCTGTGTTTTAACAAGCCCTCCAGGGGCTCATGTTAGAGAAGTGCTGTTCTGTGTTTAAACTCACTGCCTCACTTCCTACCTGTGGGACCTCAGGTTAGTATCTTTTATGTCCTCACTCTCCTTACTGTAAAACGGAGCTCATAAGAACCATTTAATAGAGTGTTGTGAGGATTCGAAGTAGTTGTCATTCAAAAATGGTGACTTTTGGGACTTCCCTGATGGTCCTGTGCCTAAGACTCTTGAGTTTCCAATGCAGGGGGTGCAGATTTTGATCCCTGGTTGGGGCAGTAAGATCCCACATGCCCCATGGTGAAACCAGAAAAATAAAATAGTGACTTTATTCTCTTTTTATTGTTACCTTTGCAATTTGTTGTTGTTTAGTTGCTAAGTTGTGTCTGACTCTTGCAACCCCCTGGAGTATAGCCCACCAGGCTCCTCTGTCCATGAGATTTTCCAGGCAAGAATACTGGAGTGGTCTGCCATTTCCTCCTCTAGGGGATCTTCCAGACCTAGGGACTGAAGCCCTGTCTCCTGCCTTGGCAAGTGGATTCTTTACCACTGAGAAGCCAACCTTTGCCAACTAAGGAAGGTGATTTTAAGATCTCTTTAGCACAGGCTCCTCGAGCGTGTCTGCTTGCCACCAGGTGGCAGGTTTGCTATGGATTTCTCAGAGGGGATGTGTTTGAGGAAGGGGCAGTGTGGCAGAAACCAGGCCAGGGGCTTCCCCCTGAGAGTTCTGACTGTACTAACCACCGTTTCCTCCGCCTGAAGCAAAATGCAAACTCTGCAATGCACGTCCCAGCCCTGCTCACCCCGTAAACCCCTTTAGTCTGGCGCTGCAGCCCGTTCCCCACGCTTGCCTATGGCGCCCAGGTGGTCAGAGCCCCTTTACCCACTCACTCACACGGGGCAGTGCCCCAAAGCCCCCAGCTCATCCTCTAGCCTGTGCCCTCTGCTAATACACTGCCTGCCACCCCTTCAGTGCTGGCCATTGGAGGGGTAACTCCAAAGACCCCAGTGTAATAGTGAGTCCCAGTGTCAGAGGCCAAACCACCACTAACAGATGGTAGGGGGAAGAACACAGTGGACAGGGTTGTAAGATGAGGTAAAGGTCCCCCGGGAGCAGGGAGGAGCACCCAGAGCAGCTGTCCTAAGAGCAGACCCATTTGCGGGACCCCAACCTCAGCCTTATCCAAAAAGAAGACTCTACACCTCCTGCCCTCTGCCATGGGCCCTCCCTGTTCCAAAGGCATCTACCTACATATTCTGATACAGTCCCTGTAAAACAGTCATATCCAAATGTGAAATCAGTTCTTACAACCAGTTACTTATGCAGCAGATGGCCCTCACCTGAGCTTCCACAATGACTGCACAGGCCTTTCACTTTTCCTCATGGTAACATCTGCATCCCTGACTCTACCCCCACCCCTGCCTTTTATTATACAAGTATGCATTATTTTAAATACTAGGAAAACATGAAAGGCTAGAATTTCAAATCAACCTCATAGAATGTGGTAAGATTCTAAGGTTGTATCAGTCTGCCCTTGCAAAACACCATTCTAAAGGAGTTTAATAAAGTGAAATATAATAGACACCTTCATGTACTGAAAGAACTGTTAGAAATAATTCCTTGTGAGGTTTAGAGTCGCGAATATGAGATCACATTACAGTTCAAATAACCCTCCTTGCCAAGTCCAAGGTGCTCCAGCTAATGAGATTAGCAGAGTCTCCATCATACAGAGCATGGATATCCCTATTCTGTATTTTCAAATGGAGAAGCTTCCTTTATTAAGCAGCCAGATCTACTTATTACTTGACTGTAAGAGATTATAAAAACATCGGTAAGGGGAAAATAAAGATAACTCTGATATGTAATATGCAATCCCTCTCAGATACACGTGAATAATCAAAGACTGAGTGCTCTGTTGACCTCAGAGGCTGACAGCTTCCTTCTCCAAGGGTCCTCTTCAACCCCGAAGCCCACCAAGCACTGCTTCCACCACAAGGCTGAGATTCCACTCACTCAGTGCACAATGACCTCCAAGGCCAGTGAGCTGTTTTCATCCACAGACCTCATGTCTGCCCCTTGGATAAGAATGGCTCCACGTCCTAGGGACAGTCCAACACCTTCCCCGACCACCTTTACCTCCTTGCAGTTGGCTTCCCATCCTTTAGCTCCTTGCTCTGCCCCCAGCCCCCAACACATGTAGCAGAATAACCTAGGTCTGTGGGCTGCCAGGCACATTTCACAATCGCAACTTATAACTTCACATCAGGTGCACAGCTTTTGAAAGTCATTTCTACATCCCCGTCACAAAGGTTTATCACTGGCCGTGCCTTCTTTCTGGTTCCCTTCTGCCTTGCCCTCCCAGTACCCTGCCTTCTGACCTAACTTCAAGACTCCAGCTCTATTATGAAGGTCCACCCACCTAAGGTCCTTGAAGGACCTTAGCTGCTTGAAGCAGCTCCATGAAACCGAAGGCCTCTGCTACTGCATGCAAGTCCAGCAGAGACTGATGTTTCAGATTTTCCTTCCAGGTGCCCAACCTCCTCAGAAAGCACACCTAGGAAGCAAGCTGCTGACTGGACTCGTTCCAAATGAATCCCCCGTCACCATACCCCAGTTTTCCTCCTCCATCTCCTACTAGACTTCTTTAAGCAGTCTCTGCTTTTGCCCACTCCCTGGGACTGAAGATCCTCAGGCTTCTGCCATTGAAAAGTGAAAGTCACTCAGTCGTGTCTGACTTTTCATGACCCCATAGACTGTAGCCCACCAGGCTCCTCTGTCCATGAGATTCTCCAGGCAAGAATACTGGAGTGGGTTACCAAGCCCACCTCCAGGGGACCTTCTTGACCCAGGGATCAAACTCACATCTGCCAGCATCTCCTGCACTGCAGGAGGGTTTTTTACCCACTGAACCACCAAGGAAGACTCAAGTCTGCCGCTGGTCCTCTGCTACTGTTTCCTCCAAGCCAGTTATTGTCAACCCTGAGCGCACGTTAGAATCACCAGGGGTAGGGGGTATTTTGAAAACTCCTGATGTCCAGGCTGAAATTGGGATCATTAGAATCAGATTTCCAGGCAGGGGACATGGGCCTCAGTAAATGTCAAACCTCTCTCATATATTGGTATTACCTGGAGATAACTTTAAAACAGACGGATGCCCTGACCTTGCCCCAGACCAAAGAAAGCAAAATCTCTTGGGCAGGGCCTCAAATGACCAAACTGTGCAGCCAGAATTGAAAACCAGCTGCTTGAAGCGTTCAACCCTGGGTGATCTCAACTACTGCCTGGCATCAGTTACCACCTCCATGGCATGACTTCCAAATCTCTCCCTAACCTGAACTCACATTCCCTAGAACCTATTGCTTATTTCCACATGGCCATTCCACAGGTACCACATTCCTCTTCAAGCTTATTCCTCTCTCCCATGCTCAGTACCACACCTAGCTATTAACCAAGTCAAACATTAAGGTTAACCTCAACTCCACCTGTGGCCCTCCTCAGTTTCCAGTCCTGGATAAATCAGTTCACTAAGCCCTGTACCTACCCAATCTCAGCATCCATGTATCCTATCCATCCCATCCTCACAATCCTCACCATCTTCACTGCTTTCATTGAGGTCTTCCTTGCCTCCTACCCAAAATATGACCACTTCACACTTGACCGTGTTCTTTCCAGACTCTACTCCACTTAACTATCTTCTGTATGGCCACCAGAGCAAGGAGTTGACGGAATACAGTTTTCAGAGATAATATGAGGGTGGGGAAACAGGGAAACTTTTGGCAGGGGCATAAACTGAAATAACACTGTTGAAGGTCAATTTTGTAGAAGCAATCAAAATCGAAATCACACATATCCTCTGACTTAGTTGTTCTACTTCAAGTAATCTGTTCTTCAAGTATACCTGCACTTATTTGTAAAGACAATTGGCCATGGACATTGACTGCAGCATAGTTTGTAATAGCAAATGTTAACAATCAACCTAATTTTCCATCAACAGAGAAATGGTATAAAGATCACTGTAGATGAATATAATGCAATATTCTGTGCCATTTCAAATTAATAATCTAAGTCTATATATCTGATATGGAAGGTGAGCCAAGATATATTAAAATATCTGTAGATTCACTGGTATATTAAGTGAAACAAAGCAAGATGAAGAACATGGATTTTGTTTTGTTTTTAACACAGTGGTTGGTTGTTGGGGAATAGATCTAGGTTTCTGAAATAAAATAGAAGGGCACTTATTTTTTAGTATTTACCCATTGTTATTATTCTGATTTCTTACCTTATTAGTAAATTACTATTTGAGGGCCCTGAATAAAGGGAGATTTACACATCTAGCTCTGAGTTTAGTGATAAATTAGTAATGAGTACAGAGAAAACTATGGTCCAGCAGTGAATATTTATATTTTATATTATGTAACTATGTAAAAACTGACTAGTGATCTAAATAAAAATTATAACTATATTATAAAACTGGAATAAGAGTAAGTGTGTTTTTGGAAAGGAAAGGCAGAGAGGGGAATAAGAGACTTAAATTTTTACTTTCTAGAGTAGAATGTCAATAGCTAACTAAAATTGAAAAATCAAGAAACCAAGCAGTATAAATATCTTATTTGGAAATACAGAAATAAATACTGAAAACTACTAAACAAAAACTAGAATGTGTAGTCTCATTTTGGATGGCGGTACATCAGAATCCCCTGGGAAATTTCTTCACCATGTACATGGGTCTGCTGTGTTAGAACTGGGAATAGGTAAGGAGTACCTAACCTTAAAATTAGGTAATTAGATTAGATTAAATTAGATTACCTAGTCTTGAAATTCTCCCCAGCTATCCTGATCCTTCTTCCCTTCCAATACCCTTCAAACCACTGTCCTAAATATTAAAAGCTATCATGCCACACTCCATTTTAAGTTCATCAGTGGCTTTTACCAGCCTTCAAGATTAAATCCAGACTCTTCATTCAGGCTTATCAGGGCCAAACCCATTCCCCTCCTCTCTGCTTCTATTTCTGATTTCTCTTGCTTTTACCTGCCCTAGTCAGCCCCATACTGATTTCAGTTCCTAAGAATTGTTATATATAAGAGGAAACAGCTAACTTACCATGAGTGGCTTCTGCCTGACACACCATTTCCTCTGTTGGATCTGCCTTCTGTTGTAACACAAAGTGCCGGGATACCACCTATGCACTCAGGGCTCCCCATCAACATGTCCAACCAGATGCCAAACCTCCACACCACAATCCACATCCACCTGCTTCCCAGACGTCTCCCCCACTGGAGATCTAATAGGTTCTCAAATTTAAATGTCTAAAAGGGAAACCCTGATTTGCCCCCCCAAACTTGTTCCTAAGACTTCTCCATCTCAGCAACCATACAGAACAAATTTTGTTCAATTCAAAATTTGAGGGATCATCCTTGTTCCTCCCTTGCTCTTATTCTGCACATCCAATTCATGGACAGGCTTTTCTGTCTCAACCTTCAAAATGTACCTCAAATTTATTTCTTTCTGTTTCCACCATCAGCAGGATGTCACCATACTGGACTATTGCAACAGCCTGTTCCCTAGGCTCTGATCTTTGTGAATCAGATCACACCATTTACCTGTTCACAACCTTCCAGCAGCTCCCCCTGTTGCTCTTTCAAATAAAATCCAAATTCCTTACCTTGGAGTAGGAGGACCTGCACGACACAACCCCTGCTAGTTTCCAATCTCACTCAGCAGCAAAGTCACTCAGAACTACCTCCTAGGGGGTCTGCTGAGCCTGGCACCAAGAACAGCAGCTTTCCCCCACGTGTCCTAGGGCAGAAGCTGTTTTCAATAAGACACAAAATCTGATCAAACAGAACTGACACCTGGTCTGTGTCAGGAGGGAAATGGACAGAATCTCAGCTCTAACACCGAGGGCTATCCTCATCTGACCCACAAGGTCGACCACCTGCTCAGGGAGCTTCTATTGTGAGTTCTCCACCACTTAACCTCACAGCAGACCACCTGGATCAGATTACAGACTTTCTGAATGGACCACAACTTTGCTGTCTTGTCTCCAGTCCGAGGCTTGTTTTAGAAGCCTGAGGGTGGTGAAGGGGAGCTGGTGTCTTCACAGTTTAGACAACACACAGTGGCTTCTTAGGACACTGGGGAAGCTGAGTGACCCTGAATTCTGCACGTTCAGAAATGTGTCCTAATGAATCTAAAATTATAAAATACAGACAGTGCTTTGCAAATAGCAGGTGATGTCTTCCCTCTAAATAATTAAAACCACTTCTTGAAGGAATGGGTACAATAAAGCCGAATGTCAACAGTGCCTGAGCACTTCCCACACCTGGAATTAAAAAGGGATCTCTGTTTACTCTTAATTGCTACAACTGCATCCCGGATGCAGAGAAGTAGCAAAGAGGAGAAGACCAATTACTATCTATAAGCAGACAGCCTCATGGCATGCTCCCTGGGGCATGGGGAACCCCCACTCCGTATATAATCTCGGGTGAGGTTGGCAGGCTCACGGATAGGCTCTGAACTCTGTGTTTGCCACTGATCTGTGTGCCCCAGACAAGTTCCCTTACTCCTCCAAGCCCCAGTTTCTCTGTTTATAAACTGAGGCTCTTACCCTTCCTTGCAAGGTTGTTGCAGGGATTTATGGAGATAATGGGATAAAGAGTTTAAGGCCAGCTCATACCCAGCCTGTGCTGGGGAAGTGATAGTTACTGTCACAACGTTATTACATTCGCTAGCAGCAGCGATCCTGAAGCTGTTACTGACCTCCTGCTGTCCCCCTTCTGGGTCTTTGCCCACTGCTCCACTTGGGCCAGGCTGCTCTTCCTCTGGCTGTGCTTCTCAGGGTTGGTCCTGGAAGGGAAGGCCCGCTGGTACACAGCAGTCCCGTTCTGCTCTCCCGGGCCAGACGTGACAGGCAGCACACCGTTCCTCTCTGCCCGCTGGGGCTGAGCCTGCTGGCCTCTCGGGCCGCTGGGTAAATCCACGAACAAGGCGTCCTCTTCGACTTGTGAGTACGGGGACCTGGCCTTGTTCCTGTCCCGCTTGCCCTCCAGTGGGTCCCTGGAGCGGTACCGGTCTTCCTCCTGCTCCCGCCTCTCAAATCCAAAGGAATCCTCGTGGCTGCGATGAGGACAATCCCTTGCATGTCCGGGTCCCACGCGGCCACACTCTCGACAGGACTCTGCGTGGTTGGCCTGGGGGACCGCCTGCCGCTCCACCTTCTCCGTGTCCCTGCAATGACAACAGCACGTTCAGCCCAGCCCAGACCGGAAGCCCTAGCTAACACTCGCCAAAGAACACACTTTACACTCCAATTAACTCCAGGCCTTTGCATGGGCTGTTGCCTCTGCTTGGAGCCCCTTTCATGCCTACTCCCTTATGCTGCTGGCTTAACTTCTATTCCTCTGGGATCTGGCTTAAATGTCACCTCCTCCAGGAAGCCACCCGACACACAGTCCCAGTCTAGATCAGGATCTCAGCTGACTCCACTATCAAACTAATCACACTGGACCATGACTGCATGTTTACTCATCTAGTACCCAAGAAGGCTACGAGCTCCTTCAGGCCTGAGGCCCAGCTGGCCAGTCATCGTATGCCCGGAACTTCCACATAATGATGGTACAGAATAGGAGCTCTATAAACACTACTGAACAAACAAATGGTGTATGTATGACAGTCTCATGCATTTCCCTTTTGCTGTTTGTCCACCTGTCTGTCTGGGGCAGGTAAGCTTGGATAGAAAACTCCTGAGTCCAGGGTCTCCCCCGCTGGCGTCCAGCACAGCCCAAAATACAATGAGCAGTATAATTAACAGTCTTCCAAGATGTTGAGTGAAGAGTCAGCACAGCAGTCTCTCTATATGACCACTTATCTATCTTGTCAAGGAACTGCTCAAATAGGAATGTAAGAACACTGACCTAAAAACAATTTTCTGCAGTATTATTAGTCATATTTCAGAGATAAGGAAACTGAGGCACAGAGAAGATAAAATGATTTGCCCAAGACCATCCTGCTGAGAAAAAGAGGCACCAGGGCTTAATTCCAGGCAGACTGCAAAGTCTAAGCACTGGAGCCGTGACTCTCCATTGCCTCTCCACCTGTCTGTCTATGATCCGCACACATGCAGGCCTGGAAACTATACAGGACAAGGGGGTAGTGGTGACAGGTGAGGATGTGGGCTGGGGCTAAAGAGCTTCCAGGGCATAGAGAAGAGAGCCTCTTTCATGGCCCCTCTCCCACTGGAAGCTGCCTCCCTCCCCACTCCTTGGGTCCAAGATGTATCTGCATTCTCATTACTTGGAACCAGGGACACAGCAGCAGCTCCACAAGCTTAGGAGAATTTAGACTGAGGAGGCAGGGCAACACACTCCAGCCTAGCTCAGAAGGACCAGAAAAATTACCAGGGACCCTTGGACAGGCAGCCAGTCGACTTATAGTGCTTGGTAAAAAGGTCCTGGCCTTGATGTCCATCACTTCTTGAAATGGCCAAGGCTGAGGGTTCAACAGAAGAACAAACAACAGAGGTGCTGCTGCATTTAATCTCGATGGCCAGACTTCAGGTGTCCTTGCAACAACCTCAGAACTTCAGCTACCAATAATCAGTACAGATTCAAGGCAGAATCCATCCAGTCAGGGAGCTGGTTAAAATGTCAATATAAAGTGGAAATACACCCCCTAAAACAGGTTTACTTCCTCATGTGTGCCGGCCTATCAGCCTTAACACAGGCACGGAAACTGAGAAAAGCACTCTCATGCCTCATATCCGTGCATGTCCTTGTGTGCTGTGCGTGCTCAGTCATGTTTGATGCTCTGTGACCCCATGGACTGTAGCCCACCAGGCTCCTCTGTCCATGGGATTTTCCAGGCAAGAATACTGGAGTGGGTTGCTATTTCCACTCCAGATGATCTTCCCAACCCAAAGATTGAACCCACATCTCCTGCAATTGGGAGGCAGATTCTTTAATACTACACCACTTGGGAAGCCCCATGTACTCATTACTTTTCCATGAAAGCCCAAAGCTTTTGCGGGGAAAGAATAAGCTTCTTTGGACTTCCTCTATCCATCACTAGGAGACATCTTTCCCCCATCTCCCACCCCTTCTGCTAACAGAGTTTGAATTTTCATTTGGGGATCATCCTACCCCACTCTCAGTACTTGTAGTTTAGGTCCTGCTGACTCTACTAGTCCCTTTCAATCTGAGGCTCCAAGTCTCAGTGACTGGCTCACAGGCTGACACATCACCCAATCCTGGCCAATCAGAGCTAGTTTTGGGACTTTGGCTGGAGCTGGTCTTGAGCTGCTACAACTACATAGGAAACAGCTATCTGAGAATGAGGCTTCCCAGGTGGTGCTAGTGGTAAAGGGTGCCTGCCAATGCAGGAGATGTAAGAGACATGAGTTCAACCCCTGGATCAGGAAGATCCCCATGGAAGAGCGCATGGCAACCCACTCCAGTATTCTTGCCTGGAGAACCCCACAGACAGAGGAGCCTGGAGGGCTACAGTCCATAGGGAAGCAGAGTCAGACACAACTGAAGTGACTTAGTACACACACATCTGAGAATGAAAGCAGATGGACAGAAATAGAATCTTAAAGACTTGTCCTGAACTCCTAGATTTAGCCATACCTAAACCAGATATATCCTTGGACTTTTTGGTTGTACATCAATAAATTGTTTCTCACTTAAGCTAGTCTGAGTTTGGGCTCTGTTACTCACAGTAGGAGGAGTCCTATTACATCATTTTATATTGACATATTTAGATAGTGACTGTTAAGAACCTTTCCATTCCTAAAGTCCAGTGGGTCTATAAGCTCTAGTAGAAGAAACATGTGAAATATTCAGGGGCCCACACTTTTAAGAAAAAGTAATTTTTTCTTTTTTTGGCTGTGCCACGTGGCTTTGTAGGATCTTAGTTCTCTGACCAGAGATTGAATCTGGGCCTTCAGCAGTGAAAGCATGGAGTTCTATCCATTGGACAGCCAGGGAATTTTCAGAAAAAGTAATTCTTACTCTAAGTTTTTAAAGGGACAACTCTGTTCTACAAAGTACACTTTATAAATCTTAACTTTGTCTTTCTTTTTGCACCTTGTCATAAAAGCCATACAGTGAAACAAATATGCACCTAAATGGAAGACACTAGAACTGAAGGGAAAAGAGGGTTTCTTCAATTGACAGATGAATGCATAAAGATGTGGTACACATATACAATGCAATATTACTCAGCCATTAAAAAGAATGAAATAATGCCATTTGCAACAACATGGGTTGACCTAGAGATAATCATACTAAGTGAAGTAATTCAAAAAGAGAAAGAAAAATACCGCATGATATCACTTACATGTGGAATCTAAAATATGACACAAATGAATCTGTCTATCAAACAGACCCACAGACACAGAACAGACTTATGGCTATGGGGGTGGAGAGTGGCAGGAGGGAAGGGTGGGATGGATTGGGAGTTTGGGATTGGCAGATGCAAACTATTACACTATTACATATAGAATGGATAAACAATGAGGTCCTACTGAATAGCATAGGGAATTATATTCAGGAACCTCTGATAAACCATAATTGAAAAGATTATGAAAAAGAATATGCATATATATATGTGTGTATATACATATGTGTGTGTATACATATATAAAACTGAATCACTTTACTATACAGCAGAAATTAACACAACATTGTAAATAAACTATACTTCAATAAAATAAATTTTAAATTAAAAAGAAGAGGATTTCTTCAACTTCAGAACCCAAGGGTTATGGGTACAATGTCTTAGCCCAACCAACTGTAATGAGGATTTTTCTTTCAACCTCCATGTCTTTACTGAGAACCTATACATTCCCAGTGAGGTGAGCACTTATCGATATAGTATAGAAAATAGCCTCTGCTACCAGAGCCAGACAACCCTAAAGCCTGATTTAATCACAGTAACCATATTTAACACTGTTCTCTTGAGCTGACCCCAAATCATGGAGTTTTCCAGTATTTTCTAACCCTGGAGTTAACTTATAACTATAAATCTTAATCCTTACTGTCTGTGTATATATATGAGTGTACACATCCCAACACATGCCAATACATCCTAAAAATAAAGTTGACTGAGAAAGATAAAACTTTTTTCTCAGATAAACTTTTTTCTCAGATTGACACCAGCATTTACTGCAAAACAAACCCTAATAGGGTGCCTAAAAGAATGGGAGTCTGCTTGCCACCTGGCCCTAAGACTTGGGGTTATGAACAACAGCTCCAATTTCCATAGCTGTTGGGCCTTACCCAAGATAAGATAGATGCCTTTGTGTCCAAAATGATCAGGCTATGGCTACCGGTAAAAAAGGTGAAGGGAGTGTTCCCGACTCCCCACCTTACCTGACTTGAACATTTAACTGACTAAGCTACAGGATTTAAGGCAAAAGTGTTTTTTGGTCTTCTCCCTGTCTCTTTGAATTCCCTGCAATGTAACACATGACCTCTCAAATCAGGAGACCTGTCACACAAGACATCTGCAGCGCTCAATTTAGCACAGTGGTGGGGAAAGAAGGGAGTACCCCTCGGCTGTCAGTGACCGTGTCACTCAGAGAAGAGGCCGTGCACGGCGCTGATGTTCAGCTGAGACGACAACAGCCCGTCCTGTGCAGGTCATTACTATTGATGCGAGCACCCGGTATCACTGACTGTCTAAAAACACAAGGAATTCCTGACCTTTGGTGATCAATGTGGCCACATGTGTCACTTTCCAAGCATGACAAACCCAGAGTGCATAGGTGTAGTGCCAGTCAAACATGATTCAACAGCTGGCTCCAGCCCATAGAAGCTGAGTGACCTTGGGCAACTCCCTGGCCTCTCTGGTCTCAGGTCCTCATCTGCAAAGTGGGGACAACAACCCCTACCTCCTTGAGGTATAAAGGAGAAATAAAGGAGAAAAGGCACAGAAAGAGCACCGCGCTGGGTCTGGCACCTAAAGAGCGTGTGTTAGTTGCTCAGTCGTGTCTGACTCTCTGTGACCCCCTGGAATGCATCCTGCCAGGCTCCTCTGTCCATGGAATGGAATTCTCCAGGTGAGAATACCAGAGTGGGTTGCCATTCCTTCTCCAGGGGATCTTCCCGACCCAGGGATCGAACTCGGGTCTCCCGCTTTGCAGGCAGATTCTTTAGTATCTGAGCCACCAGGGAAGCCTTTAACACATCATCAGATACAAATGTACTAGCTTCCAACATCTTTTCCTT